TAAGGTCACTAGATACCAAGAACCCAATTTAGAATCCATAGAATAGTTTAGCAAAGCTCATCGGCATCTTATTATACATGTTATACACTATATTCTATCTACCATCTAAACCCCCATCCCCTCTATCCTACCAATCACATTTCGTCACTCCTCCTTCATTCAAAATCATTTTTTTCGACGCCTGAAAAAGACTAATAAGCATGACCGCGCCCCCAAACGCTACACACGCGCCCGCCATCCACGTCCTCCACGTTCTTCTCGTTAATTTTATATAGCACAATGGGGGTAATATATATGCCAACGCACACGCACTAGTCGCGCCGATTAATTCGAATACTGCGCCGAGATCGCAGGTTACGAGACTTAGGATCATAGCGCTGACGACGAGGGCGGAGGTGAAGATGAGATGGAGATGCATGTTGAAGGGTTCGCCGGGGAACCAGTAGTTGAACATTACTTCGCGACAGACGAAGGCTTCGAGGGGGAGGGTGGTGAGCATGTTGAGGCCGAAGCAGAGACGGGCGAGGTTGACGAGGGGGTTTGTGGCGGGGAAGTTGTTGAGGACGTTGCCGAGGGTTTTGGAGCCGAAGGTAAGGAAGCCTGAGAGGGCCATTAGGAGACAGGCGACCATGGAGATGGAGGTGCTGTAGTGGGTTACGGTGGAGAATCGGTCGATGGTGGGGGTTTGCAGGGAGCCGTAGATTAGGAGGGAGTTGTGGTGGCAGACGAAGGCTGGAGAGTGTGTTAGTTGAGATAAATTGAATTGGAGAGGGGTGGAAATAAGGGGGTGGAGGCTAACCGAAGGATATTACGCCAATGGCTTGGAAGATGCCATCGTTTATGGTGAGGAGGGGTGTGGTAAATTCCCCTCTATCTTCTTGGGGTACCATAAATCCTTGTGTTACAACTGTGAATAGAATGATCATCATACTGATCAGTGCCAAAGTGCTTGCTTTCGCCAACTGTTGCGAATTAGCATGACTCCTGAATGTTGTCCAGAAAATGTACCTTGGCGATATCCCGATATAAACTCAAAGGATAACTTATTCCCAACACGAAAACTACAATAACAGCCCTCCTGTTCGCCAGTAGCCCCAGCACTGGCACATCTCTTAATCCTGGGAGAACCGCAGTCAAAACATGCGGTATTGAATCTCCCACAATGATGCAAAAAGCTATCATACCCCCAAACGCAAAAGCCCATTGCGCAACACTGATAGCAATCAATCCTGTCTTCCCAAAACAAAACTCGACTGTCCCCTGGAAACTATCCCGTCCACTCAATTTCGAATTAATAACAATAAGTCTAATAGTCCAGTCCACCGTAATCGTAAGCGCGATCAAAAGAATAACTCCAGCCAAGAGTCCAGCTTGACGAAATGCGTAAGGTTGTCCGATGATACCGGCTCCGATAATACTATTCGCCATGTTCATAAATGCATTCCGCAGATTCGATTTGGGACGGGATCGCTCGCGTTCAGCCCATGTATGTACATCTTCATCGTCGTCCCAAGGACTAGAGGCAACAGTTACTGAAGGTGCTTCAATGCCCGTCAAGAGGGGTGTAAAAGATTGGGTTCGAGATGAGGGATGTGCATGTATTTCATCATCATAGACAGGCGGCGCTCCATCATTCGCATTCAATTCGCCATTCGGCGAAGGTGGTAAATCGAATCGTACACGATTGGGTGTTCGAGGTGTATGTGTTTCATTATGTCCTTGTTCCTGTGCCTGTCCAGAATGGACTATGATATCCTCATCTTCACTTCCTGCTTCTTCAGCGAGAAGTCCAACATCTTCTTCCGGATTACGATTCGATGACTCTTCGTTTCTGCGATTGCTGTGCGATTTGGCTTTTGCCATTTTTGCTATCGTGGTAGCATGTTGTGAGTGAGATATTGGATTGGGAGGATTCAATGGTTTGACCAGAATGCTTTCGTAGCTCAATGCGCCGGTGAATGCGGCCGCAATGCTGCATGCGGGCCTTAGCGTATTTCCAATAATAGCTTGACAGTGAACCCTTCTCATCCATCAACTTTACAAACCTAAGGTGTTTTACCAAGTTTTCTTAAGAAAAAAAAAATTAAAAAAATCTTACGACTTTTCTTGCTTATGGGTTGTGTACAACTACACTCCTGAAAACTTTCACTCAATTTCGTAAATTATCAACTGTCATGCGAAAAGTACTTTGGAGTGGAAATCACCCTCTAAAATTTCGATCCTGTCGTTTGTGTCAGAGATGGGTTTCCGTGAGCTATCTCTGGGGTCCGCCAATACTCAGCAAGGCCACTAAAGGAGGTTTTTGCTAGAACTAATCGGCTAATATCTGTACTTAAATCTACGTTGTATGACTCGATTAGAAGTCATCAAGATGTATCTCGTTCGAAAGTCAAGCAAGCGGACACGAGAGATTTCAATTATTTGAGGTATGGAATAGAGCTCGCATTTCGTCGATTTTCTATCCTCATTTTTGCTATTTGAATGCAGTTTGTTGCTTGATGAGAGCTAGGCTTTTGATGCAGAATGCTACATTCAATGTTGCAAAGAGTTGTTTCTTTTACCGAATATTTGGTGTAGAAGGTGTGGTCAGGTGTGCTGGCTAAGCTTCAGTTGAGCTATCCAGATATAAGTTCATAGCCTTGCTTGATCTTGAAGTAATAGCTATGATGAAATGGACCTTCAGTTCGTCTTCATTATTGGTCGAGTCCAGAGATATCTTACAAATTCACCAGATTTGCAAGTAGAAAAGCCCAATTTCGCATGATGCACAAATGGCCTACATTGCGACATTCCCAAGTGGCACTTCATTGCAGAAACGCTTCTTTCATTAGCTCTGAAGGAGAAATCAGTTTTCATCATTCATCTATTAGTCTTACTTCAATATGGGATCAAGAAGGGCAGGAAATAACACATAATCAGAGGCTTGGCTATGATCAGTTACGTTGATAAACAGATGAATAACCTGTTCCTCATTCATAGAGCCTTACCATCCAATGACCATGCGATGTTTTTATGAAATCTCGCATGACTTTATTGAGGAGGCGTAAGAATTCATTGACCCGAGTGCTCTTTGGATTCTCTCATAATATGAGAAGACAGGGACTGGAGTGATAAGTTCTCGAGGTAGTGCCTTGAGCAGAATTAGCTGTACGGAACTCACCATGATTGCCAACGTGCCTTTGATGGGCAAACATGTGCGAGATTCCTTCTTGGAAATTGAGTCTGATAGAGAGTCATTTTACTTCCAGATATGTTTGTCCATTTGAATTCATCAAACCGAATATGTCTGCTACTATTCTTGATTCCCCACAAAGACAGCTTAAAAACAGCCTAAAAATTATTTCTGGAGCTCTTTTCCATTTAGGGTTAGTTTATCGGCTTTCCTTGGCACTAATACTAAGCAAATTGCCACTTAATGAAACTTCATCTTGTTGTTGATCATAAACGCTGACAAAGTAAAGATCTAGACTCACTGGAAAGGCTATTTTCAAAGCACCAAACATTATTTATACAATCATAGATCGTATTAAAGCTCTTACCACTGGAGTCAAAGAAATAAATATTTCTACTACCCCCGCAATGAGTCTTACCGACACTCCCGAGGGTATCATCGAACTGATCGACTCACTGGGCCATAGTGATCTGCCCACTAGCCCACCCTCTGTATATATCGACCTAGAGGGGATCAACGTTGGTCGTAAAGGCTCAATCGCGATCCTCCAAGTCTATATCCTCCCAAATAAAAAGACCTTTCTCGTGGATGTTCACAATCTCCGTGAACAAGCATTTTCCACTCCCAATTCATCTGGCCTTACCTTGAAAGCAATCCTGGAGTCTAAATTCATTCCAAAAGTCATATTCGACGTCAGAAATGACTCTGATGCTCTGTATAGCCACTTCGGCGTGAAACTACAAGGGGTCATCGACCTTCAACTCATGGAGCTTGCAACTCGATCTCACAGTCAAAAATTCCTCAGCGGGCTTGGAAGATGCATGGATCAAGATCTCGTGCAAACTTCTGAAGAGCTCGAGGTTCGGAGCGCCATAAAGAAGCGCGGAGTACAACTATTTGCGCCAGAAAAGGGGGGAAGATACGAGGTCTTCAATGACAGGCCGCTTGATCCAGCAATCGTGGACTATTGTGTTCAAGATGTCCAACTCATGCCACAGTTATGGAACATTTACAATGCAAAGCTTGGTTTAATGGACAAGAGATGGGCTACTAAAATTGAGCGAGAAACAAAGGCTAGGCTTCTGTTATCTCAGAGTCCAGAATTTAATGGGAAGGGACAGCATATGGCAAAAGCGCCACCCACGTGGTAGAGTATTGTTGATGTTGTTGGTAAAAAAAAAGTTTGTATAGATATTAGATTTTGGCCTTCGGTTGGGATGTATGTGTCTGTACTTATATTGCTGTGGCTTCTTACTACTACTGTAATGATTCATTGCCACATTCGATAAAAATTTAAATAGGATATGTAATTTATCGTCAACTGCTGTATCTTCTTGGTTCCTAAAGCGACTCCGCGAGGTCATTTGTTTAGGCTGAGGGACGAATTTCAATCAAACTGCCCTTTGACAACGGAGACAATGTTTTGAAATAACAACGAGTATTCGAAGCAATTGGGTCAGTGGTACTAGCACAAGACTCGTAGTTTTCTCATGTTGTTACTTTACCCCTTTGACATACAATCAAGCTTTGTGGGTAGTTGCGAGTGCGATTCTTACAACTTCGTCCTGTAAAGCGTAGTTAAAACGGTAGTGGGTTCTCTCTAAACTGGAAGGGTTTCCTGACCAGTCGGACTTTCCGTTCTCATATATGTACCTCCTCCTTTGTACTTTCCCAAATGCTAGGAACACGTTAAGTAGGATCAAGATCTAAATCTTTCCACATATTTCGATTTACAATAACAAAACAAAACACAATTCTGGATTACCATAAAATTTTGGTTTCATTGAATTAGTTATAATCCCATCTCGCCTCCGCGGCCTGGGTGAAGATGGGCTCCTCCACTTGTTGCACCAGTCGTCAACCTCCTTCTCCCGATGCAGTCTCACCTCGTCCTGTACGATCACCATCTCTTACCCCAGTTAACACTCTGAGGAAGTCTCCAAGAAAAACATCGAACATAAGGATTGGGGAGCTACAAACACAAGCCACTACATGGAGTTCGGCTACAAAAACGGAAGATACAACAGAAATAAGAGCTGTTTTTGAAGGAGAGTGTTCCCCTGATAGTGATAAAGAAAACGAGATTGTGGTGGTCGATGAAGGAGATAGTGACGATGATGACGAGGACGAAAGAGGTCAGGAGGTCAAGCCAATGCTCAGTTCTAACACACTCAAATCCGTCAAAAGCCGTTTAATAAGGACATTTTCCCGCGAACCTGGAATCGCAAAAGCCGATAAACGAAGAAGTGTAGGGACCAGTCGGGAAGAAGTCGAGCGAAGAAAGGAACTGAGAAGAATAAGGCAAAAGAGAATTGAAGAGGAATTAAGTTATGATGATGGATATGATGAGGATGCTGAGTCTACAAGTACAGTGGATTGTCCCGCTATGCGCACCGACAAGGGTCAGAAGAGGCAATCTCTTCTACCAGAGGACAGTGGCAACTTTCCAATTTTCCGAAAGTGAGTAAATTCTTGAAAGTTAACCAAAAGACACAATTTTAATTACTTATTCTAGGCAGAGCTCTTCCTTTGGATCGGAGGCAGTTAGTAATGGCAGCAAGATCTCCCTTTCTACAAGCAATAATGATAACACGAGTAAAATATCGCTATTAGCTACTAAGCTTGATGACACCAGCAAAGCTTCTCTTTTAAAACCAGCAGATCGAGGAAAGTCTCGAACATGTTTAGGTCCTGGTGACCCAACCTCCAATCTTCTCAAACCGGTCAATACTCCACCGCGAAGATACAGCTCACCTGGTCCTTGTCCTACGCCCAGTGAAACTGAATTATTCCAGCCTGGAAAACACCACATCAGGAAAACAGACAGTGAAATTTCTGCCATACCTTCAGCATCTCTAGCTGAGGCTCAAAGACTGCCAAGTTTTGTTACCCTTGATCCAAGCACGGCTTCGAGTTGGCGATTGTCATATACTTCTCATCAAAGCAATCGTGGAGCGCATCTTCGAAGGTTAAGTCAACAATTTGAGGCTCCAATTCAATCAGCGACGGATGTTGCAAACGTAGGCACTCAAACACTGCCACGTTGGCTAAAAACTCATGGACTTCGATCATCTTCGCAGGCTATCACTACTTCGGAAGGTAGTACTTTACCAAAAGAGCCATCATTTATGCGTCCACCACGTTCAGATACTGGATTTGGTGGGGTTGATGGAAGCGGAAGCTTTTCAAATATGCATTTGCAGGATATGGATATCTCCAAACGTCTTCTGCAGAGCTCTTGCTCGTCACCACAACTAGTCAGCTGGGAGGAGCATCACCGTGAAGCTTCCGGAATTAGTACTGCGACACAAAGTCGTGCTAGGTATATGCGAAACCCATCGGAAACAATATCAATCCCTTCATGCCCATCAATTGCCTTGAGCGAGCTACTCCCACCAAATTGGGGAAAATTACCAAATGATGGAACTTCTTCATTTTACCCTACCGTACCCAATAGCATCCAGCCTTCGCCAGAATGCTCACGGTTTGAGCTATCTCCTTTCATGTCCACAAGCAGAAGCATTCCTACAATGGTGGAGCCACAAGGTATGAGTCTTTTGGCATTACAATTTATGATTCACTAATATTATAGCAAGTAATTGACGGGATTATGACTCCTCTTCGCTCACCACTAATGCCAGCAGCATTAGGGAGCGACACCCCTACCACAATAAATGTATCTTTAACGAGCCTCCAAGCCCCTTTAAGCAGATATTCCGCCAAACAAATTGATGAGAGCTCCCTTTTTGCTTCTGAAACTACCAGTTTTCGAGAACGAGAACTAGAATTAAGTCATATTCAAGCACGGTTTGCTTCGTCCGATTTGCGTCGACCTCCAAGTACACCAATATCAAGCAAGTTCCGCGAAGAATTTGATATTTCACTCACCCCTCAACCCAAATCTCCTTTTCAGAAGCTTGTCAGGGCTTGCTCGCTGAATAGAAGTCGTGATGTTGTGGATGAGGATCCATTACTTGCTCCTCCACCGCATAGACCAGGATTTGGATATCGATTTACTTCTACTCCCACAACTCTAAGTAGAAGGAGCTCTGCGCGTCATTCAACACCAACGAAGAAAACTAGAGAAAGAAGGAGAACCCCAATTGTTGATGATTCGATCGATACTCCAGTAAAAGGTAAATTTTCTGCATTTCGCAGATTTAAGCGCCTAGCTAGTTTGGGTGGGTACGATGGTCCCGCAGATGATCATAGAGGCAGTAGATCCGAGTCTGGTACTGCACGAAGACCATCTGCGTTGGATGCTAGGTTAGGCTTGGGTGCCGAGATGACCGCAAAGGAGGCTCAACGGAAAATATCCATACCTCCTAGTATACCATCCATTAGATTACCAACTTCTGAGTCTCCAAGTATCAACACAGCTTACACTCATGAGCCTGGTGTTCTGGCTCGCATGGCCACATCTATGCATGTCTCGACTCCGGAACTTCACCTAACTGGTCATCTTGGCCGCATGGCCACAACTATGCATGTCCCAACACCGGAACTTCACCTACCTAGTCATCTTGGCCGCATGGCCACAACTATGCATATCTCGAATCCGGAACTTCATATGCCTGATGCTCTTGCACGTATTGGTACTGCTATGCATATTGACTTACCTACACCTCACTTCCCTGATGCCTCATCGATTCTTCATACCCCCCATATTGATATTCCAACCCCTCACCTTCCCAGCATTCCCCATATCAGCTTTGGTCATCACGATTCAGACTCTCCCCCAAAGGAAAAGAAAGGCCCCAAGGAAGCACCTGCAATCACTCCAATTGCTGCACCAAAATCAAAAGTTCAAAGGCCTGGAAATGATCCTCAAGGTGGAGCACCACAGTGGAGAGGCCCACGAGCTAGGAATCGCTCTACGACTAGGGAGGATAATAGGAGAAGAATGGACACTAGTCAAGATGATTCCGCTGCTGTTTGGATGAGAGCAGTGAAAGGTGCGGTATCAGATAGATCCAAAGCACGCAAGGACAATCAAGACGGAGACGACATTTTTGGAGATTGGGAGGCACAACTGGCTGGAGTTGCATCTAAATCCAAATACGAAAGTCGAAAATTTGGCTCGAGAGGCAAACCGAAGATCCATCAAATTGAACAATTCCCAGAAGCTTGGTGTAGATTTCCCAGCCACGAAAGACATGCCAGGGGGCATGAAAGTGCGGGTGTGGAGTCGGCTGTTGAAGCAAAGGATTTTGCCATTTTGAAACCGGGAAATGAGGATCTGGGAAGATCGGAGCATTTTTATGGTACAAGGAGGAGAAGAAGACCAGGTATGTATACTGAGAATAGTAGTGATCCTAGTAATTCTCAAGGACTATCTGATGAGGAACTGGATGCGATTGAAGCTGCAGAGCCGTTTTACAAACGGTGGAGTCAGAAAATTAAGATTGCTTGGATGGATTATAGAATTGAGGATGGACAAAAGAAACATGCGTTTCATTCGGGGAGCTTGGGGAGAAGAGGTTCAATGACTATGGATGGAAAAGTACCATTTCCAGAACTGGAATTGTTACCAATGAGGGCACCCCCTCCGCCAAGTGAGGTGATAGATGATGAAGCGGATGATATTGAGGCGGAAAGAAAAAGAGTAGAGGCGATTCAGAAAGCTAAAATTAAGCCGCATTATGAGGCGGCAGATTTGACGCAAAGTAAGGGAGGTGTAAGTGATTTGTTGGATATTTTTAGTTCAGGGCCTGAGGAACCAGCTGAACCAAAGATGCCAGTTAAAAAGAAGGGTCCAAAGGCAAAGAAAGTTAAAGACCCTTATGCATTAGATGAAGATGATGACTTGGGTGGTGGCGGTGGGGATAAGGGTGATGAGGACCAAATGCCCAAGAAGAAAGGAAAGAAGGTCAAGGATCCCTATGTAATTGATGAAGATGATGATGAGGATCTGCCACCCGCGCCAAAAAAGAAGGAAAAAGCGAAGTATCCATACGCAATCGACGATGATGAAAATGAGGAGATGCCGCCTATTCCGAAGAAAAAGGGCAAGGCGAAAGACCCATATGATATCGATGATGACAAGGACGGCTCATCAGACTTTGGTTCTGGGGACGATTTGGGCAAAATTGATCAAATCGTGATGAAAGAGGTGCTAAGTGATGATGACACGATTGATCATACACGATTTGAAGACTCGGTCATTAGTTTTCGTGATCCTGAATTCTATCAGGATTGTTTGGTGATGCCCAAAGAACCAAGTCCTGTGCATGTTAAAGAATGCTCTGTACTGTCTAGTCATGGGATCATTGAAGAAGAAATTGAGGACCCATCTAAGAATGGTGCAGGGATTGGAGTACAAGTTAAAGAGATTGGTGATGGGGTTATTAAACAGATTGAGAAGTTTAAAACGTGGAATGGCAAAGATTGGGAGAAGGAGATGGGAGGATTATTGAGAAGAAGAGACACGAGTGTAGGAAGAGACAGCATGAGAAGCGCGAGATCGGTATGGAGTATGGGAAGTCAGGGATCAAGAAGTACAGTGAGGAGTGTTGGAGTAGAAGTCAAGAGACTGGAGGATTTGGAGAGGGAAAGGAAGGCTTTGAGAAAGGGTGGTGGTCACTTGACAGGAGGAGTGCCGAGGAGGGCTAGAGGAAATAGAGGGTGGGACAATGAGAGAGGACATGAAAGGAGTGCCAGTTTAGGGGGGAGAGATGCGGGATTCGAGGGATTAAGTGGCTCGAGTGAGACCAGGGGAAGGAGATTGACGTTTGGTAGTGGCAGGTAGATGGCTGACTGATACGAAGGGTTAGGTATAACGCCTTCACAGTGAGTCTAAGCTAACCCGACCTTTGTATTCGGAGAGAAAGCTTTAGCCCTTAATTCTGGGGATTTTTGAAGTGGTCCAGGCTAGGTGCAACTTTTCGTCGGGCGTGGGTGGATATTATCTTGATGCGTTATTGAGTTTTGAGACATTACTTATAAGGCTGAATCCATGTATTAGAGATATTGAGTCTTGAGGACTAAAAGATTATTAGGTTTTAATTGGTATAGCTACCTAGGTTTTAGGCGGAGATCGAGAACGTTTGGAGGATTTTGGTTGGTATTGTTTTGTTATGCAAGTTATACTTAAGTAGTCAACGGGTTGTATAATCCATAGAAGCCACATAGCTAGATAAATGATATCTTGTTATAATATATTAAATTAATGTTTAGTGTATTCATGTTGATCGTATGACAGATGACGGCTCGAGGGCTATCTTGTAATCGATTGGTTGTCTCAACGGTCCACCATAATTAGTCAGAGACCGCTGTTGGACCTGTAACATGTACTGATATTGAAATGCCTAAATGGGTTTTCATGGTTTCCATAAAGATTAGCAGAAATTCTCAGCCAATCAGTAGACAGTCATTGGGATCTTAATTCGGCAACCACCTGCAGTTCCTGCTGTCAGCCTGGGGCAAATATCTCACCCCTGTACAACAAGGCCTAGGGTCCCCCACATTTACGTTGTTGGCCATCGTGTTGAAACTTCAACCATACTGTATCTCCGTTACAACTTTCTGCGGCTACAAGCTCAAGTCTCTATATGCGAGCTTCTGCGTCATGTCTCAATCTCTGTATTCGTCGCTTTCGCTGGAGTCTAACAAAATTCGGTTGCTTCGCATATTGCCGAATGAGAACGAGGAGGCCGAGATCAACTGCACTCTCTTTGTGTACCCACTACATGATTCCGGCAGAGGTACTCATCGATATGAAGCTTTATCTTATGTATGGGGAGACGCAGATAACTCTCGTTCTATTTGCGTAAACGGGCATCGTTTGAAGGTCAGGGCAAACCTTCATATTGCCCTCTCGCGCCTTCGAGATACTATTTTAGACCGCATTATATGGATAGATGCTATTTGTATCAATCAAGAGGACTTAAATGAGCGAGGCCATCAGGTTCAGCTTATGGCGAAGATATACAGTAAAGCAAGTCAAGTAGTCATTTGGCTGGGAGAGGCGGCAGACAATAGTGATCGAGCTCTTGAAGAAATAGTTGTTGCCGCAAGCCAATCTGAAATCTCTTCAAATAAGGTAGCGCGGAAGGCAATTCTTGCACTACTTCAACGTCCATGGTTTCGGCGCATTTGGGTAGGGGGATATTGCTTGATAGTATTTCAACTATTACTAAAGCTGAATATAGGTGCTACAAGAAGTTGCCGCAGCTCGACACATACTGATAATGTGTGGTCTTGTTGAGATCGACGGAAATGCGTTCTGTGCAGGGTTAAATACATCTAAAGCCTATCTCAAAGCATATCCAAGATTGCAAAGATTGATTCGTTCCGTAATTTATCTCATTAAGGAGGCAACCCTTCGGCCAAAGTATGCAACAAGCAGCTCGGACAATTTCTCCCTCGATATTCGCCCGTTGAGCGAGTTGATAGATACGTATCATACCCGGGAATCTACCGATGACCTCGATAAAGTATATGCTTTACTCGCCATGTGCTCCGATAATCCTACCTCAGCAGGCTTACTCCCCGACTACACCATTCTATGGGAACAACTCATTCAGCAGCTTGTACATTTCATTCTCTGTAAAGAGATAGAAGTGAAGGTTCTGCAAGACAGAAACAAGGCAATATTCAGAAGCAAAGGTTGTGTTATTGCCTCGGTGATTTCAGTGGAGTTTGATGTTGTTTGGAATGACACGCAAACTGTGCATATCAAATTCACTGATACTTTTGAATATTTGAGCTGGGACAAGCAGATGGAAACGCGGGCTACTTTTAATATCCCAACGACGGAAAAAAACATACAGAGGGGCGACATTCTCTGTATTTTACAAGGAGTCTCAAAGCCAACGATCATTAGACTTTGTGATGACCATTTCTCTGTCATTATGATTGCAGCAACTCCTAGTGGTTTCGAATCAGGATCGAAATCAGAGTGGGACGATGTTTTGCGTTCAATAACAACTTACCCACGCGACTTACTACTAGCATGGGACTTGGGGGGGTCTTGGAAGAAGTTAGGAAGTCTGGAATCTGAGAACTTGAGAGTGCCTGTCAATTCAAACTCCATGCTCGAGGAAAACTTAAAAACAGACGAGATTCGAGGGGCGGAGAAAGATATGGAACCACGCGAAGAGATACGTGACAGTCTGGAGGTAAAGATTCATACAAAGGCGGAGGGCTGTTCAGAACCAGAGTGGAGCTCAGAGGCTAAAGAAAATTCTGACAGTGAAGAGTATATGACAGCAGAAGAGTATCCGACAGTAGAAGAGCATCCGACAGTAGAAGAGTATCCGACAGTAGAAGAGTGTTTATCTATGAGTGAGAATCTAGAAGTAGGAGAGCATCTAAACTTGGATGGGTATTCAGAAACTGGGTCGAGAACATGGGATAACCTAATCAGAATGCGTAACGTAGCTCTGATATTGAAAGACTTGGGACTGTATGCTGATGCAGAAGAGTTATTTCTGCAACTGATACGGACAAGGAAACAACTACAAGGGGTCGAACACCCACAAACACTAAGCAGCATAGCTGATCTGCAGTTATATTATCGAGAGCGAGAACTCTTAGAGGGAACAGAAGAGATAGAAGCAATGAAGCATCTCCTTGACACAGCAGAAAGCGCTGTTCGAGTCTTAAAAGAAGAGGTGGTCAAGATTGCATCATTACCATCTTGTAAAGCAATGGTGCTCTTATTCGAGCGAAGAGGTGGCCAAGTCCCAATCACAGAAAAGGTAGTCAAGGCAGCAGCTGCTAATAAAGACTGCGGAATTGATATGATGAAGCTATTATTCAAAGAAAGAAACGACCTATCAATAACAGAGGAGGTTATTCGAATTGCAGCAGGAAATGTGGATGAAGGATTTCATATAGTGAGATTTCTATTTCAGAAAAGAGGGGATCAAGTTCCAATTACAGAAGATATAGTCGAAAAAGCGGCACGAAAGGTTCGGCAAGGTATGATATATAAGACAGCTTCTTTTCGAAATGAAAGGGGATCAAATTCTGGTCACAGAAGAGGTATTAAAAGCTGCAATCAGGAACGAGGAGGAAGGACCTGATATAATGCAGTATTTCTTTGAAAGAAGAGGGAGCCAAATTTTGATTACTGAGGAAATCTTGAAAATCTTAGTCGGGACTAAGTGGAGAGGATGTGATGCAAAACAGCTTTTCTTTGAAAGGCTGGGGGATCAAATTCCAATTACAGAAGAACTATTAAAAGTAATAGCAGGGAGTCAACTGTTCGCCGCAAGATCTTTGATGTCAAATCTCTTTGAAAGGCTGGAGGATCATTTTCCAATCACAGAGGAGACGTTACAAGAGATATTAGAATTGGCAGCAAAGAAGTGGGAGCCAGATTTTGTGAAGCGTTTTTCCACATGAAAACTGAAAGGACATGAGTAACTAGGGGCCTTGAAATTGGGTTGTCTTTTTAAATAGGCTCTATTTACACGTCTTTTGATTATGAGTCGGATGGGTCATGAGATTTAAATGCCATGGAAAAGGGAAACTTGTCTCCCCTATTTGAACCGTTCATTCCAACTCCCTTTCTGATGTCTTCTTTTCTTTCTCCTATTCCCTTGAAAACTGATTAGAATAGCGAAGTAATTTAGTTACATGGCTCATTCCTCTTTTACTCTCATTTCCCCTCCTCCTTCTTCTACCTCTACCTCCTTCAGTCTACTACGACTCTTCTACATGAACAAACGGAATGAATCATACCATTGAAATAGCCAATTAGATACTAATCTATATAGCTCACACCGTGATTCATATCTTCCGAGAGCCCAAGTTTATCATTCACCCACTTTACTATTTAGATCACAATGTGATGCAATGGATAGATTCTTTCCCTTCTCTAACTGGCTCGGAAAATAACAGCAAGGACATCCATAGAAAAGCTAGGGAAAAATAAATAAATTCCAAGAGTGCAAAAACACGACAAAGAAAATCAAAGATAAGAACCATAAACAGACAGTAAACAACAAGTAATTGTATAAGATCTTCTATTCAGCAAGCAATTCTGCGATTCTCCATTTCCTATATTGAGTTTATATATATTACAATGAAACTCTACTAGAAAGCACCCACTCTCTGACCACAAAATGCTTCAAGAACGCCTAAATCTCCTATCCCCCCGACAAAAAAGAGCAACCCACGTTTCCGAACTATGAAATAGGCAGGCAGGACATGAATATCCTAAATATTTAAGATAGCTTAGAACAATAGAAGAGGTCCCCAAACAGACAATGTAGATATCATGTATAAGCTAATAAAAGAGATAGTAGATATTATACATATAATCTATATTCTTTCAGTTAATGTATAACTCACCTCACCTTGCTCTTGATAATATGAAGCACGCACAATCCATTCATCTTTTCATACAATTGTATCTTCACCCCCAAACTCTAAACTCCAAATCCAATACCAACAACAAACCCTCTAGCCTCCCTTCCTCTTCCATATCTTATTGCTCCACTCATTCCCCTCCCCCCAATCTCTCCCTTCCATCCCCCCTCTCCTCTCCCTCCACTTTCATTCCCTCTTCATAATCCCTATCTTCTCTCCCTCTTCAACAAAAAACGGGCTTATGGTTTAGTAGATAGAGAAAATAGGATTTCAATTGGAGCAAACAGTACCTAGGAAAAGACGAAAAGTTAATACGTCTCCAAACTCGAAGTTCGCAGGGATTAAAGCTATAAGGTTAAAACAGGCTCAGATTGAAGCAGGAGATTGTGAAATCGATGAGGGTGATAGTTCTAGTACTATAGAAAGTGATATTACAGGCGATTGTATTGAAGTTCAATCGTTATTGAGTTATTAAAGATGTAAATAAAAATGATATGATTCTTTAAGATGGTCGGAAACAGGGGGTGGTAGGAAAGTGAGGTAGTTGACTTATCAACTTACATTACATACGTTATCCCACTTCGATAAATCTTTCTTCAATAAGAAAATCCTTAAGCTTTAATCTCACCCTATCTCTAGTTCAAATTATATGGAGCTATATGAGTAAATAGAACCATCTCGACTTATTTACATAAAGTATATACTCAAACTGAGGTGTCATTTACTAAGCATATCAATCTAAGCTTTATCTTAGAAAGCTTAATTCTCGTATCTTGATCTAATAAAGACTAAAAAGCTATTACAACGATATGTCATTTATTAAGCATATTAATAAGGTTATGAGCTTTGATATAAAAAGCTTAATTCTTATAACCAATATTCCTACTCGTATATCTTATAAGAGTTCTAGCTGCTCACCGCATGTTAGGGTTGATCTACTTTACTACTATAACTTACAAACCCTGTAGTAGTAGAATTCGTAGTTAATGAATAAATCATTTCGTTAATTGTATCAAAAATTTTAATAGTTAATATTATATTGAAAAAATCGGTTATATAATATTAATGTGATTGATTTATATATATATATATAATTAGAAAATTTTATTTTAAGGGGATTTAGAAATTTTTTTGAAATTTATTAAATTTCGAAAGTTTTAGTCTAAAACTATTTGTAAATAAAAAAGTTTATTTATATTGAATTCAATTATTAATCAAATTCAATATAAAATTATATGTATATTAAAGTTAAGTAATATTCTTATTTAAATAATATATTTTGTATTATATAGTATAATGGTAAAGCTTTTGATTAAAGAATAAATCGAAAGTGAAGTGAGTAATCTATAAACAGATCCCCTTTTAGATTTTTAGTTAATGTCTTCTATTTATCTTTTAGCTTTCTTATTTGTTTCTTTTTTCCTTTAACTTCTATACTTATTCCTCTCCTCCTCCTAGCTTCTACACTTACTCTCTTTCTATTTATCTTTTCTATAACTTTAATATACGATACTTGAAATTTTTAAGGGGCTTTTCAAGACCTTTTATTTTCTTTATATTTATTAAAATTCAATAATAAACGGGTTTCATTTTGAATTAGAAAGATTTGTAGTTAATGAAATATGTATTTTGTTAGGGATAAAAAAAGTTTGAATTTTGTAATATATATATTAAATATTAGTATGGGAATTTATATTGATATTTTTTTTATATATAGGTATTAACTTTGCTACTATAGGGAAAAGCGTAGAGTATTCCGAATACGTTCGAAATAGTAGATCTACTCCTATTAGATGATTGCTCCCTGATACCGTACACCGTAACGTTTTGTAACATAATCCCTATAAAATTCATGTTTTTCTATATACACTAAAATACTATATAATTAATTCAATTATTGATATTAAATTATAGAAACTTTATAATAAATAATCTGAAATACTATATATATAAATTTCTAATTTACTTTTAAATATTTTTGTTGAAAAGTTATATAAGTTTTTAACTAAAAGAATTTTTAATTTGTAATTTGAATACTTTTCTTATACAAAATAAGCAAATTTTTCAAACTGTTTCAAATTTCTCATTTTAACCCTTCAAAAATACTATTAAAAAAATATTTAAAAGTAAATGATATTTTTTTTTTTAGAATAATATTGATGATTTTAAATCTTTTTGTAATATAATTCTTAGTTTTATTTTTTATTATAATAAACAAACTAGAATATAAAAAGTTGAATAGTCCCAGATTTTAGCCGGAAACGCGTTACATGTATAGTAAGTAGGTTCCAGAACTCTTACCAGGATTCCTACTCGCTGGATGCATAGGCACTCTTTTTTCGAAGTAATGACCCATACTTCCACAGAAATCTGGGAACTATAATGGCAAGACTATATTTCAAAGTAAACAAATTAGCTTTCTGAATGAGTGAAGTATTTATTCATAGTCTTGAAAAATGGTGCTTACAATAACAATATGAATGCTAAGAGGCTGTTTCCCCAACCATGACCTCGTCTTTCATACATGGCCGGTGCAAACAATGGGAATGTAAATCCCGTTAGACTCCTCAAAGCATTAAGTGTAGAGATTGCAGATGCTGCGTAGCGAGAATAAGCATCTATGGTATAAGTCTGAATGCCTTGAATGCACATGACTGCCCCAGCACAAAATATGGCTATTCCAACATTTGGAGCTATCCAATGAGTGTGATATTGACCTGTCCAACCATAAATGAAGAGGCCGATGGGTAATAAGATAGAACCAGGGAGCATCAAAGCCACACGATATTCTGGTACACCTGTAGGTTTATCGCCCTTGAGTCTTTTGTAGATCGAGTTATTTAATCTACCGCCAACTTGTTGAACGTCGTTAGTCAAGCGCAAAGTCATGTAGACTAGATATTTCAACATACCTTGAGCACCTAGAGTGAACCCGATACCAGTCGCAATGTAATTCAAACTACCAGTGCCAGTTGATTCGTGGTAGTAATTCTGCCAAAGCAATGGAAAAGTGTAAAGAACCAAAAACATTATGCCATATAGTACGGCCATGTAGACCGAGAGGAACTGGATAATTATCTGAGTGCTCATTTTGAAAGGTCGTATCATATTTGTCTTCAACAACTTCCATAAAGTTCTATCAGGGTCGTCATACTCGGTTCGAAGATTGCTATTTCCTGTTTCTTTTCGCAAACGTTTTGCTTTCTGGGAGAGAATGCTGGGGGGGTATGTTTCTGCAAGAAAACAAAGAGCAAGAATTTCAATAAATGCACTTGCTATTGACACAACCCAGAATATCCATCGCCATGATGCGTCCTCTGTGATATATCCTCCGATGATTGGACCAATTGCTGGGCCTAGAAGTGGCCCTGCGGTATATATTGCTAACGCTTGTCCGCGCTGTTCTGGCAGCCAAAGATCACTAACAAGCCCACCCCCTACGGCTAGAGGAGCAGAACCTCCGAATCCGGTGAGAAGGCGGAATGCAATGAGCTCACCGACATTTCTTGAGAAACCGCAAACGGTGTTCCACAATATGAAGAATATATTTCCAAGAAGTAATATAGGTACCCGACCGTATATCTCTGAGATTGGGCTAAGAAGTAAAGGTCCGAATCCGATACCGAGTAAGAAGATAGACGAGACGAGATCGATGCTGAAGAAATCTTTTGCATGTAGAGAGGAAGCGATATACTTGGTTGAAGGTGCAATCATAGTACCGGTCAACGGCGACAGGAAAGCAAAACAAGAGACGATGAGGGTCATTCTCCATTTTCGTCTGGTGGTCCAATTTTTGGGGTTCTGGGGATCTGTCGGTCCATCCCAGGTAACCTAAACAATGAATGTGAACAATGAATCTGGCTTATTGTAACTAGACTTACAATGTTGGTTTCCTTACAATCAGCTAGATTCTCTCCAGTGAAATTAAATGGCAAGGCAGATGTAATCTCCTTGTCAATTCCAATCGCTTTCTCTGGATCCCTCAAAGCCATACTTCGCAACGATATCAAAAGACAAGGCTTCAAAACAGAGAAAAATGGAAGGGAAACTTTTAATCCTGGCGTAAAAGCAATGTACTTGGCAAGTTTCCTCGTTCTATTGTGAGAATAGATATAGCAAATAAGTCACGTAACATTCTGACTTGGTACAAATGCATTATCGCAATATTTATTTGTGTGGCACAGTGCAGCAGGGTGCAGCAGGCGCATGTTGGGTTGATGTTAGTGATGAACGTCGGTGTCTCGGCAGATCTAGAACGAAATTTCTTCTGGATATACGTCGTATTTCACTATTTGATTTGTATTGATCTAAACTTAGCTAGGCATTAAATACCTACATATACCGAGATTAGCAATTTTCTGTATGTTCTGGCAAATGATTGGCTGCTTGTTTTATCACAACACCCTCCACCATCACAAACCTGTGAAGATTCGTGTTTTCTTAGCTACTTGAGCCAACACCCTAGATTGAAGAAATGCAATATTACGAGTTGCTTTGATAGGAAAAAAAGCACTTACAGTACCGGGAACACTTGTCTTCTCCCAGCTATAAGAACTAGTGGGTCACCCTTCATCCTCAGTTTTCAGACACCACTTCATCAAACTCTCACAATCCTGTCAAAAACATAATCTCAAGCCTTTCCTCCACGAGCAACACAACAACCAACTTCACTAAGATGCCTTCTCAAAATACTACCACCGCCGCGGATGCTTCAGCAAAAGCGTATTGAAAAGATCTATGCTGATGCCGCCAAAGACACCCGCAACCAGCCCTGGAAAGCAGCCCTTCCCGAAACCAACGATGTCGAGGAGCCAGGTTCTTCTGATGAATCTGACGAGGAACTCGTCAAAACTGGTGGACCACTCAATATCTTAACCCACTTTTTCAATGTATAAGCAAGTCGTCGAAGTGAGTGATTTTACCTCGCATTGTCTAATGAGATTCTTGTTCTAATTGTTATACCAGAGGCTATGGTATCATTTGGGCTACCATATTTTCAGCTCTGGGGGATATACGACATGAAGTTTGCTAAGTTTGAAGCGTAGGCGGATTATTAGTCTGGTTATCATTTATTCTCGTGCCTGGGCTCTGCCCTGAAAGCTGTGTTGGATGTTTTTTATGAGATTTTGTAATTATAGTAGACCTGAATTCAATCTACTCTCCTCAAAAAGAATTCAACGTCGACGAACATTAGGATTGTGGAGCCGGTACCCTGATAGAGGAAACCGCAACATTTCATGACAATCATGCGGAAACGACGTTGTGTAAAAACAAGGGCCAATGTAAGCTTGATGTTGTTGCTCTCGTACATAGGCTAATCCGATTGGTTTGTAGTTGTTGCGTGAACAACCCTTGCCAGAAGTCTTATCGTTATCTTCTCAATTTTTTTGGTCCCAGCAATCTACTGCTCATCGACTTTCCTGACCATCTGCCACATTGTCATGGGCCCTAGACTTGTTGCAATCTTTGTCCACTCCTCGTCCGGTTCATCAATTGGCTCTGGTACCAAATTTTTTTCATTTACAACTGCAAACCCATGCTTCTTGTAAAGGGGGACTCCGTAGACTGTTGCATCGAGCCAAATCTCAACACCCATTTTCTTTGCCTTCTCAATACCCCATTTCATCATCATATCTGCAACTCCCTGGCGGCGGAACTCCGGGTGGGTATAAATAATATTCAAATCTTCCAATCAACTTGTCAGTAGAATATTCACGTGAAGTTAAGATGAGCTTGCTCGTGCTTACAGAGCTGCGGCTTAGGGGCCAGTCTCTCACGAGGAGCATCGAAACGCTGCAACGCTGCTGCAACAAAGTCTCTCTGACCTCCTTCAGGGTACCATGATACCTCGGAATGGTCATCTTCATGCTCGAAAGGATTCGTTGGACAAATTTTCCACAACGCAGCACCAACGATTTTACCAGACTCTGTGTCGATAACTTTGTGCCAATAGCTAGTAGGATCCGACTGATGCCACTGTAATTGACGAGAAGTGCATTCTCTCAGAGACTCTTCTCGAGCTGTTGGACCGGCTCCAATAATAGGGCAGAATAAACGAAAAAAGGATTGTTGGGGATTCTCGTATGAAATCCATTCACACTCAATAAGCTCCTGAAAATCCTTGACATAGTCAACGTCCTTGAGTTCTAAAGGCATGCTGGCTGTGGTGTGGTTGCGAAAACGAATCTCTAATTCTCAAACTTCGATTAAGGGGTTTTATATGGCCGAATGTGATGAGGGAAGACGAGACAAGCTTATCATAAAAATAGTTGTATAACCAACCAAACAAGTGAGCAACAACTGCGCCGCAAAACGTTTATCTCTAGCCAATAACCGACTTCAACCTCTTACAAATTCATTCATATTGTGTTACAACCCCTTTACCGAAATAGCTGTTTTTACTGTTCGCAAGTCTGCAGCATTCTGCCTGTGCCGCAAAATGACAGGAAAGGCAGTGGCAGGGAGGGGGAGGAGATTTCGGAGTTTGCGACCAACATTACTTTTCAAGGTTGTTATGCATCGCCCTGCCTTTGGGATTCATTTCCGTGTCTGTCTTATCAAAAATGTACAAGTGTTTGTCACTAACTAATACTTAATAGTGGAGCCGTTTCCGAACTTTCTATCCTGTCCTGTCCACTTTCGAAATCAAGTCGATTTTCATCATGAATCGGACGCAGGTTTTTATCACTGATACAAACAAGACTCCGCTGATAGAACTGTTTGTTTGGGTCCCATTATCCATTTCATGCCTTGGAGTGGCTGCTCGGTTGGCTACAAAGATAGCGATTTTCAAAAAATTACACTTGCAAGATCATCTAGTCTCTATATCTCTTGTAAGAGGCCTAGCTTAGCAATGCGCTAAATCGATCTTGCTGCTGACTTTCGATCATAGCTTCTAGCAATTGGTCAATCAATTGCAGTCACCATACAGTGTTCGAACGGTTACGGCCAACACCTCTCTACACTAAGCACCTCTCATCAAGAAGGACTATTAAAAGTAGGTGTTGACTTTGTGATCTTCGAAGACAGAGCTGACAATGTTTATCATAGGCCGGATATGCCGCAAACCTACTATTTATTGCCAGCTTGTGTTTTGTCAAATTGTCGATCGCCTCATTCATTGACGACTTGACGCCAATCACTCGAGAAAGACAGGCCGCCAAAGCCATTGGGTTAATAATATTGCTATGGACGATCTCTTCAATCTTCTCTTCCGCTTTTCAATGCTCGGTGCCTAGGCCTTGGGATAGAATCAATGGCTCGTGCATCAACCAAGTGAGTGTGGCGGTCCGCTGCGCCAGAGTAGACACTGATGAAAGTAGAAAGCGTTTGGGAATTACTATGCGGCTGTGAATATCATAACAGATTTTAGTTTGATTTTGATGATTGTAGATAATGCAACCAGTGTAGGCAATAGTATACTACAGTGAAACTGTGGCGCGTATTAGCATATTGATATTGCAGCTAGTATGTATAGAAAGGAGGTTATACCACTCTCGTACATATTCATATGCCTAAAGAATACTAGCAATATACTATAGCTAGGTATATAATATTAAAGGGATAGATAATAGTAATTCCCTTTCAAAATTCTTAGTTCTAATATTTATAAATAGATTCTTGAATAAAAGAGTTTATATTATTTTCGTAATACTAATTTGAAAAAAAGAGAGAGAAAATTCATCTGAAAAAATCAATCTAATATTATAATATAATAAAAATTGTAAATTTGAATATAAAAAAAAGAAAAGAAAAATATTTAAATAATAATAATATACAAAATATTATACTGAATATCTATACTTTCAATATGATTAAAATAAAAGATAGTTGATTATTATTATCTTCCTATAAAATAATAGAATTTTATTTTTAGATTTTAAAGTATTTGAATTTTGTTTAAAATTATATTGTAAAAGAGTAGAAGGTGGTGGGGTCGTAAAGTAGTCCTTCGTAAATACTATAAATAAGTTATTGAGATATTGTTGGTTTGAGAGAGATACGGAAGACGTCGTTCCCACTATGAGTAGGCCCCTAAATGTCTATTTATATTCAATCTAAGGAGCTAGCTAAATGAGGGAAATAGTAGGCCTTATATAGGCACTACTGAAAGAGCTAGTCTCCTTCGCATTCGCCTAAATACCTTTAATACAGTTGCTATTGTATTGAAGTCAATCCCTTGAAGTGAATTCCCTTGTCCATATAGATATAATACCTTCAGTGAAGGAGAGAAAGAGAAGGCTCTATATAGCATATTATAAAACATATAAGAAGGTGAATAGAAACTGATTGGCTTTTTCTAAACTATATAAAGAAGACCTATAAATACTAGCTACAGAAAGAGGTCACATGACCAGCACTAAGTTTCGCTCACAATATTAAAAAAATGAAAATATTTTATGTTTGTTTATGGAAAACGTTTTACGAAAAACGATTTCAAAAGCAGCGGTTGTCGGGAGTACATATATTTTCTTTCCGATGCCAAAGTATCAATAAATGGGCTTGTGGTTTAGTGGTATAATGTTCCCTTAGCATGGGAGAGGTCCGGCGTTCGATTCGCCGCTAGTCCAATACACCCTCACCTTTCATCCTCTCATCGATTAAAAGATGAGGGGTGGATGCGTGTGCTTTTTAGCAAATTTTCTAAGCGATTTTTTTTTTTTCATTTTTTATGTTTTATGTGGGGCTCGACTCCATTGTGTGAGAAACTCACAGGGATCAGTGTTCTATGAGGATTTAGAGAAATGGAGATTTATTTTGGATGTCGAATTTTATTCCCATTTTAATCTGTGTGGTTGAGATGCTTGAAGTGATGAGGAATTAAGGTTGTTTTGACGAAATGCATGCTCACTCGGTTGGGGTTTCGCCTAGAGTAGCTCGAGTAGGTAGTTAAGGCGGCTATTATTCAGGGGCATTAGTCTTCAGTTCATCTCGATAGCTGGTTCTAATTCTAGATCCAGCTGGGAAATATCGGATTACAAATAATTCCATGCATCGGTAAGAGAAAATGAGAGTGGAAATTCAAATTTATTTTGTCATCGTCTTTCGATCTTTAAAATGATCAGAGGACATAACGCCGAATTTCAAGAAAATAGCCTATTTAACGCTTTTATTCTGCCCCAAAACTATTTACAATCTACACTTAAAAGCGTGAGTTAATTTGATCCGTTCAAAACCTCCCCATCAATACCACCTGCAACTCCCTTATCCTGTATTTCCATCTTCTCCTTTGCAGCTTCACCACCTACTAGTGTGTATTTTGCAGGTACAATATTTTTGAGAGGTGGTAACAGACTCCTTGAGGTTTGACGGGCTTGTTGTGCCATTAATGCATCGATGACTGTGAGAGCTGCCATTGCCTCTACAATAGGTACTGCACGAGGAACAACGCATGGATCATGACGACCCTTGGCTTCGAGAATACCGGAACCACTACCGTCATAAGTGGCAGTTTGTTGGGCTTGACCAATGGTGGCTGCCGGTTTGAAAGCTACACGGAAATAGATGGGTGCACCATTTGTGATACCTCCTTGAATACCGGCAGAATTGTTTGTCTTAGTTGTTAACTTAGGACGAGGGATTCCATTCTTTGATGCCCCAGTCTCGAGGGGTGGTACTTCAGTAGCAAGAATAAATGGATCATTGTGTTTAGACCCTGGGACTTCACAGCCACCAAATCCGGATCCGATTTCGAAACCTTTAGAGGCTGGAATACTTAGCATAGCATGAGCAAGCATTGCTTCCATTTTATCGAAACAAGGTTCACCAAGGCCAGAAGGAACATTACGGATTACGCAAGTAACAGTTCCTCCAATGCTGTCTTGCTTATCTCTATATTCTGCGATAACTTCGGCCATTTTCTCGGATGCTTTAGCGTCAGGGCAGCGGACCGGAACAAATTCGTCGACGCGTTCCCGTGTAATGTCTTGTATAAGTGAGAGGAAGGCGGGGTTTGTGGAGGGACTTGGGTGTTCGACGGTTGGTGGGAACATATGGGTACTGCCAACGGAAGAAACGAATGCGACAATTTCAATTCCATGAGCGAGTCTTAGATATTTTTCAGCAATTGCACTTGCTGCAACTCTACCAATTGTTTCTCTTGCGCTACTTCTTCCACCACCACTGCTAGCCTTTACACCGTACTTCTCGAGGTATGTCCAATCCGCATGAGAAGGACGAGGGTAAAGGTCCATTGTTTTGTTTCCATAATCGTGTGGTCGTTGATCTTGATTACGAACAATCATTCCAATAGGTGTGCCAAGGGTGATTCCGAATTCTGTGCCAGATTGGATCTCGACTTTATCTTTTTCATCGCGGGGAGTGGTGAGGGCGGATTGACCTGGACGACGACGAGTCATCTGGGGTTGAATGTCTGCTTCTGTGAGCTCCATTCCTGGCGGAACTCCGTCGACTATACATCCTACAGAGCGACAATGCGACTCTCCGTAGCTATGAGAAGGAAGAGAAGTTAGTACTTTTATGCTGATTGGGTGATGGAGGGGGTAACTTTGTGTTGATGGTGTCAATTGAATTGAATGTTTTGTACATACGTAGTAACTTTGAAATATTGACCAAATGTAGACATTTTGCGAAGAAGTGTGAGGAATATGGAATAAAGGAGAAAAGGGTATCAACGAGAGTCTCTATTATATGTAAATGAAAATCAAAAAAAGAATTGATGACTCTTTTGACTCTTTCTTGACTTTTTCGGAGCCCGGACCCGATTCGGCGGGATGATGTGGGATGATGTGAGATGGGAAAAGAAATCCCCTGGTCATCGAGAGTCTGGTGGAGGTAATGTGGTAATATCCCGAAGAATACCCTTGTCAGTTCACTAGGAAATCTGGAAATGTCAATTTATCTGAACCATCTCCGAATTTTGTATGAGGAAGTCAACAAATTCAACATCCGGAGAGTATATTGGCCGCTTGGGTGCTTGGGTATTTCCAAATGTACCAAAAATCAATAATTCCTGCGAGAGGATTAATGCGCCAGTTCATATTACGTGGCAGAAGCACGATAAGCAAAGAGTTCTTTGTTCGAAGAAATGTTTCCACTCACAGTAGTGTATCAATAGGGAGATTCGTCCAAGAAGCTACCAATCCACTCAACAAATCCCAAATATACATATCACGAACAAACGATCCCTTCATTAACTTATCCATCGAACATTATCTTCTACAAAAGACCCCCGCAGATTCTACCATCTTATTCCTCTATACCAATCAGCGCAGTATTGTTATTGGACGAAATCAAAACCCTTGGAATGAGGTGAATCTTGGTCTACTCGCACAATCCCCAATTGGAGATGTAGCATTGGTTCGACGACGTTCGGGTGGGGGAACAGTCTTTCACGATCTTGGAAATGTCAATTACTGTGTCATATGCCCCACGTCGCATTTCGATCGCGACAAGCATGCCGAGATGGTAGTGAGAGCTTTACATAAACTTGGTGTTGATCGGGCTAAGGTTAATGCTCGACATGATATAGTATTGAAGCCAACAAACGTGGGTACAAGCGGGTTCAAAGTATATAAGGTATCGGGTTCGGCCTACAAGTTAACAAAGGAAAGATCTCTTCACCACGGTACTTGTTTACTAAACTCTCCAAATATTGCAAACATTGGCAAATTCCTGAGGTCCCCGGCAATGAGATTCATCACTGCTCGTGGCGTGGAAAGTGTTAGTTCTTCAGTTGCAAATGTCAAGATCCAAAATAAGGCATTCGAACAAGCGGTAGTAGAGGAGTTTAGTGCTATGTATGGTCTTCAAGAACCAATACTCTTACAGGAGGATGTCAAAGAAGTTCCCGAGATATCTAAAGGTTTGAAAGAGCTTACTGTGCGTGATTAGACCCTTTCCGCTTTCCCCCTTTGAAGAAGCTTAAGCTGACAATTTGGAAAACAGTCTTTAGATTGGATATTCTCACAAACTCCCCAATTTTCGTTTTCCGCAGATTCATCAATAAAAAACAAAAACATACAGCTTCCGCTTCCCAGAGACTTGCCACAAGATGTGAGTGTAGCACGGGAAATTGAAACATGATCAACATTACTGATGCAAAGATACAGTTCAAGGCCAACTTCACGGCACGAAATGGGGCTATTATCGAGGCTGATGTAGAATATAAACAAAATGGCGAAACGGTTCAAATTGGGAATGACCTAGTGAACAAGAAGATACATGAAATCGAATGGAACATGTTCCCTAGTAGCTTTGCCGAGGAACCTTTGAAATGGTTCAGCAGATTATTCTCCCACAAATTTGTGGATTGGAGAAAAGAACGGAGAAGGGATGCTTGAGCTTTCACAGTAGGAAGCTTGTTGCGCCTTCGAGATTCGAACGTTAGTGTCGTCACACAAAACGTTAGACTACGGTTCCATGAAAAAACGTTTCTTTTGCATATTCAATATACTAAATAGATACCCAATGACAAGTGTCCCTTCTCATCATAGCCTAGCCGCATTGACACTTTGTCGACACTTTGAAACAACAAATGTTCACCAATTGAGGTTTATCAAAGCGGGAGATCTGCAACCTGATTGTTTCGCGTAATTTCACCCACGTTTCTTAAATCAAGATAACCCCATAATACTTGCAAGGCATATTGAAAGGAGTGGCGTTGCAAATCTCGCAAACATAACGTTAGAGAAATTGGTATAGTATGGAAGCCTGCAAGAAGGTCTGAAAAATCAGCGAGTTCGATGATCTAGCCGTTTTTGGTCTGATTTCAAAAATAGAAGACTCGTCAGCGAGGCAGGATGATTATTGCATTCCCAAGCATGATCTGTTCCAATACATGGGCTCGAGAGCTTTCAAATGATCACAGCCAACCCAATTATCCATCTGTTCTCGAGTTCAAGTCAATAGTCCACGATTTCTCGTCATCCGAAACATGAATTGGCTTCATGTATGTGGGATAATGAATTTGATTTAGTGTGCAAAGTACCAAATGTCCATATAAGTATTGAAAGTCGCCCACGAGCATTCTTTTCTTCTTACTATAACACTCATAATATCTTCTTTCACTCCTTCTATACATTTTAACTTCCCGGCAGGTCCGTTTAATATTTTATTCTTTTTCATCTAGACCGGTTCTATCTTTTTCATAGCAATTATGCAATATTCAACAATTTTTGTCTCTTTCCTCTTCTCCACTGCTGTGGCAGCTCAGGGTTATAATGGAACCCTTACGGAGACACAGACATGCAAAGAAATGTTGAAGTTAAACGCCTTGGTTCAATTGGCCAGCAATCAAACCAAGGTCGATGCTATCACCGGAAGTAAGTTATACTCCAAGATTCTCTGAATTTCACCAATCTTCTCAGCTCATAAATCAATCCTAGGATAGTGAGACTAATATTCACCAGATAACGCAACAAGAGCTGCGTCTCTCCAAGCCCAGGCTTCCGCCGCTTCTGTGAAACTTACGGAGCTTCAAAGCAATACTACCCTCATGGCCGACTGTGCTGTCATTGATTCAGCAATCATGACCAATTCATCATGCACCCAGCAATTTCTCCTGCAAAAATTCGTTGACTTTGCCGCCAATGAAACACTGGTTACCGCCACCGTCAACAATGACATGACCAAAGTAGCAGAAATCGAACTAAAAGCCTCAGATGCCGCTGAGAAACTTCAAACGTTACAATCAAATGCTACATTACAAGCAGCTTGTCCTGCCGTCTTCATGGCCGATGAATGTAAAATGGTCGTTGCCCTTCAAAAAATCGCGGATCTAGCGATGGATGATTCGAAATTGAGTAAGATTGCCAAGGGCAATTCGACAAAGGAGGCGAATATTAAGGCTGCCGCTAGCGTGGCGAGTATGCAGGTTATGATGTTGGAGGCCAATGCTACTTTGATGGCTGAGTGTCAGAGTATGGGAATTGCGGTTTCAAATGGTGAGTTTTTTTGTTGTTGTTTTTTTGAAAGAGAGGGGGGGATGAGATGAAATGAACAAATGCTAATATTTGAGATACAATAGCTGCGACGGAAAAATCAACTTCTTCTACTACCGCTAAGTCGACTGCGAGTATTAATAAGATGAGTCTTACTGCCCTCTTTATGGGTGTTTTGGCATTGGGTATGGCTACGTTGTAGATTTTCTTGGAGGGAATATGGGATTGGGGATTGGGGACGGAGATAGAGATGATGATTTAGATGAGGATGAGGTTTTTAGAGTATATATATTAGAACTGAATGGAATTGGGAATGGATAGAATATAATTTACATTCGTTTATTATGGAGTTTGATGGATAGATGTGATTTCGAAGTTTTGATGATGTTTCGTGAGGTATGTTGATGGTGTGTTGATGGTATATTGATAGTGTATTGATAGTGTATTGATGGTATATTGATGGTGTGTTGATGGTATATTGATAGTATGTTGATGATATATTGATATTGTTTGTGGAAGGGAATGTTTTGTTTGGTATTTTCTTGGTTCGGTTATTGCTTGTTGTTTATAGCTTTTATATTTTATATTTTATATTTTCTCAAAAATCTTTATTAATAGGTTTTATTATACATTTTATTCTATTCTATTCTATTTGCGATATGATTTCTACTATACAGGTAGGTACTTCTAGTAATCTATTAGGAGTTTCTCAATAAACGACACGTATCAGTGCGACCATAAGGACTCTATCTGGGCGAGCCCATCTAATTCCGCCAACTAACGCCAATAATGATGTATGAGACGCGAATCTTCTTCATATGATTGAGCGATTGATGATATTTTTTTCTGTGGATTGTTGTTAGCGGATGCGGTTATTTCGGGAGGGGGATCTTACTTTATTGTAATCTTACAATATCGAGAAGGATAATAGCACATCTTTTGGGTGATACTATTACCTGCTACCAGGCCCAGGCGATTTCTTGATTATGAGTAGGTTTACAAAGTTAGTGGCGCTCTTCTATAATACAACGCCCCATGTCTCGCGATACAGTAAAATAAGCACGTCGATTCCAGTTCATGCGAAATCCTCTCCATAATTCAGTAAACATTCTCTTGACGCCCATGCGAGTTCAAAAGCAAACAAACGTAAACTCCGCATTATACCAGTACCAACCAACGTGTGATCCCGTGAACATAATTTCAAATGTACATGAAAGTTTGATCCATAGAAATCTGCCTCATAGTGACTGCAAGTCTTCCAAACGACTTCCGTACATTGATGGGCCTCATGATACCTTGGCCTGGGATAGTTCCAGGTTTTCCATCCAGCTCGCTCCAAAGCACATTTTTTTGTCTCGCGGATAGCAATCCAGTTCCGCTCACTCCAAGGACTGAATCGAGGCCGAGGGCTTGCTCGATACCCTCCATTATATGTGCAATGATCTCGCAGAAGACCATTCCCTGTATGCATGGTTCTGCCACGGACAAGCTGCCGAAATTGAGGCCAGGGAGTTGTACAACAGGGTTTGTGGCCCTCTGATCAACGCGGATAATCATGAGTTCAGCGTTCAGCTCGCAGAGTGTAAGGAGTTGGCTGAAGACACTTGTGATGATTAGAGCAAGAGGTGCAAACAATGGTTCTGGAGAGGGGGAGTAATTTGATGAAAAATTCGATGTTGGATTACGGGGTTTTCCTAAGTATGCTTGTGATGATAATGTTAATGACTCCAGTAGTTTTGTCTCTGTTGTTTGCGTAGAATACGGCATGCCACGAGCCGTTCGGCCGCTGATGATCCGCCTCAAGACAAGCTTCAAGTCTTGGGATGCCTTCAACAGGAACTGAGCCAGCGTAAGATTTTCAATAAACAGCGGGCCTTTTTCATAAACGATGCCGTTGAAATCCAATGTTGCTTTATTCGCTTCCACAGCAACCATGCGGATGTGCAAATCGAGGTTGATTTTGGAAAGCTCAGCCATGGCATCTAAGGTTGTGATAGGTCGTAGTCGATGTGCCCCTGGCGTCTCCGAGATATCTTCCTCGGCACCATGAATACTATCAGCAGGCGACGAGGCTGTCGAGGGGGGCGCATTGAGTGGGGAGACAGATGATGAAGCGCTGCTGAAGGTCAAATCGTTGTTGGATAAGAAAAAATTGCGATCAATGTCATTGGAAGCATCCCATGTAAGGAGGTTTTGATCAAAAGAGTTCATATCAACAGCTGGCCATACTTGTGCTCCGGGATAAGTTTCATTATCTGTTGGAATGAGCGTAGCTTTTGAAGTGTCCATTGGAAGGTCTATGCCCCAATTGTGGTGGTTTCCTTCCTTATTCGAAGGAGATTCATGAGATGTGGTGGGATTTGCGACATGGTTGTGTACCCTGGCTGGGGTAACTTGCCGATTACTGAAAGTTGAGCCTATGTTCTTTCGGTGTTTGTGTGCCTGAGCATCTGCAGGAGCAGCTCGTCGCGGTCTTCCAACTCTCCTTTGCTGTCCTACAATGCAATCTAGGTCGAGAAGCGTGCACCGCGAACATTTGGAGTCGTGTGCATATAAGCGTTGACATCTCGCCTTGATTTTTCTACAGCACTCACACGAAAATCGTCTTTGTGATGGATGAACCGCTGTACCGCCCATGTTAATCTTCCGTGGATCAACGAATGTCCAGAACACGTACAGTCAACAGAGTACTTGGTAAATGTTTACCAGCAGACGCACAAAGCCCCTGGGTCACGCCTTTCGAAGCCCTCCGCGGAGAGTTTTGAGTGTACGTCCGTATGGATTAGTGATCAACTTAGATTCATTTCTGGGAGCAGCCGATTATGCGTATCTTTTGGTCCCACCAAAACTTTATTACTAAGCATTTTATGGAACCATGCATAAACCTTAAATTTTAAGATTGATTTTATGGGGCTCAAAATCTTTGCTCGCGATCGGCTCTCAGTCTCCGATTGCTCAAGTTGTGGTTGAGCCGCCAGATCGATCTGATTGATATTCACCACCACTACATATTTGCCAAGCTTATTATATGACTCTTATATCATATCCACGTGACTTTGGCTGCTCGTAAGGCTGCCCTCTGATGTGGACATGGTGAGCTAGTGTCTTCCTAGTCGTGATGCCAGAAGGAGGTTTCGAGCAATACACCAGATCTCAAGGTTGCCAAATGATGGATCTGTGATGATTTCCTTCTTCCATAGACATAGAATATTGTCTACCCTCACTTTTTCAGATCTTTTGTGGGATAATGAGTTCTGATCTTCCTGTCAAAGGAGACTCATCCCCCCCCCCCCCAAAAATATCTTTCATACCTGTTGTTATCATGAACAACAAGGACAGGATAATTTCAAACGCTACCCTCAAGATGCGAATATCTGCTCTAGGGAATAGGCATACCTGACAGTTCGGCATCTACCCTCAAGTCGACTCCTTCGTTCACTACGATCAGGCCTTGAAGGCTGCTACATTGTGTGGGAAGATAGGCTGCATTCAGATTTTTCATAGTAGGGTACCAATCAAAAGAGCAATTTAGCATTGCGTATGTGGATAGCTGCAGGGACAGTCTTCATCTGGCATTTTGTAGCTACAGGGTTTCCTATATTGATGTTCCTGGAGGACGTCTTAGTAGGATTCAACCTAGTTCTGTAGCAAATCTGCCAGCTATCGAGAATTCATGGCGATGTGGACCCATATCCTGAACAAAATCTGAAAAAGGGCCGAGGGGATTGCCCAGATTGTATTCAAAGGGTATCTTGAGAGCTCATCCCAAGCGGCCAGCACACAAAGGGCGATTTCTTGAATACCTGCCGAACTTATCCAAGACCTTTGATTGTGAGAGGATCAATCAAGAATTGCCGTGCCCCAAAACTGTACGCGATTTCGTCTTCTAGATTAAGAAAAATTGTGAAACCTTTGCTTCCAAGACGCAATGAAGCGACAACCTAAAAGAGCAGTTCAAGACTATAAAACTCGATCCAGGAATGCCTCATGGCACCAATGTAAACGCAAATGTTATCGGAGCATCGAAGTTCATTTAGAAGGTAAGATACGCTAGAGTCAACGGTTCGGAGAGCTGAAAGTAGACTGGTTATCGTGCGAATTTCTTTGCTCAAACGGTATTCGGAACCGCAAATTTTAATTTGCCACGTCATTATCGAGAGACTTCCGTCAATGAAAGTGTCATTCCGGAAGGACAAACGGACGCGGGGGACGTATCAATCCGAGACGGACTTCTCGATCTGCTGCTTGGTAAAAAAGGAAACAAGGTTGACTGGTAAGAATATATGATGGGCTGCGGAGGGTTTTGACTGCCCCAAAGCTTCTAACGTACTTAATGTTTCCACCCCACATTTTCCGGAGGCTTCAAAGATCTGCATTGAATTGCCCACACTTTGGGTCTGGATAAGCGAAAATGCAATACTGTAACAGCCATCCGCCTTCGCCTACGGAAGGTTCTCTAATACACCAATTTATCTACGTATCATAGAATCGATATGCTTTTAAGATTAAGATTTCAAATTCCACAATCTTCGCTATATATGTGTTCAGCATGTGGCCATCTTGTGGAATTAATTTACACAAAACCACCTGATTCATATTTCTCCTTCCAATTACAGCTTTCCACCTTTGACTGACGCCCAATTCGTCAATAATGGAAAGCGAACTCAGTTTAGAGGATGGAATATCTAATATTACCATAGTTGAGGATATGGGAGCAACAAGAGTCATGTCACGGAATGAAAGGACATGGCACATGGCATCGGAGGTACAAGAAATCAAAGACCGAGACCAAGAAGGCGGGCAGCTTCCTAGAAAACTTGGTGTAACCTGGCGAAACCTCACCGTCAAGGGCATCAGCAGCGACGCCACATTTAATGAAAATGTTCTCTCCCAGATGTATCCATTCCATAAGACAACCAAAGAAACTCCGATGAAAACGATCATCGACAACTCATACGGCTGCGTCAAGCCAGGCGAGATGATGCTTGTTCTGGGACGGCCTGGCTCAGGTTGCACGACATTGCTCAACGTACTCTCAAATAACCGACTAGGTTACGAAGAGATCACAGGAGATGTTAGCTTTGGGAATATGTCAGCCAAAGAAGCTAAACAATATCGTGGCCAGATTATCATGAACAACGAAGAGGAAATCATGTTTCCTACTCTTTCAGTCGAAGATACTATCACCTTTGCCGCTCGCATGAAGACTCCCTATCACTTACCGCCTGGTATCAAGACAGCTGAGGAGTACGCCCAGTTTAACAAGGATTTTCTCCTACGTTCAGTGGGTATTTCTCACACTGCCTCTACAAAGGTTGGCGACGCCTTCACCAGAGGTGTTTCTGGAGGAGAACGGAAGCGTGTGTCAATTATTGAATGTTTAACAACTCGAGCGAGTGTTTTCTGCTGGGATAATTCAACAAGAGGACTTGACGCTAGCACAGCTCTAGATTGGATCAAGGCAATTCGAGTCATGACCGACGTCCTGGGCCTCACAACCATTGTCACTCTTTATCAGGCTGGCAACGGTATCTACGAACATTTCGACAAAGTCCTTGTCCTTGACGAGGGAAAACAAATCTATTACGGAAAACAGAATGATGCTGTTCCTTTCATGGAAAGCTTGGGATTCATCCGAGATTCTGGTTCTAATCGGTCAGATTTTCTGACCGGTGTGACTGTACCCACCGAACGTCGCATTGCTCCTGGCTTTGAGAAATCCTTTCCACGTACAGCCGGGGAGGTCCGTGCCGCGTACGAGCAATCGGAAATCAAATTTCAGATGTTGGAAGAGTGTCAAAGTTATGCAACAAGTGAAGAAGCCAAGGAAAATACATCAGTGTTCAAAGAGATGGTACGCTTTGAGAAGCACAAAGGAGTGTCTGAAAATTCTCCAGTTACCACCGACTTTATTACTCAGATTAAGGCTGCTGTCACCAGACAGTACCAGATTATGTGGGGTGACAAGTCAACACTCATTATGAAGCAAGGCGCCACAGTTATTCAAGCATTGATTGGTGGCTCACTCTTCTATGCCGCTCCTGATAATTCGGCAGGCCTTTTCCTCAAGGGTGGTGCCCTGTTTTTTTCGATCTTATACAACGCGCTTTTAGCTCTTTCGGAAGTCACAGATTCGTTCACAAGCAGGCCTATCTTGGCTAAGCATCGTGGTTTCGCTCTATATCACCCCGCAGCTGTTTGCCTTGCCCAAATTATTGCCGACTTTCCAATTCTATTGTTCCAGGTCACTCACTTTGGTATTGTTTTCTACTTCATGGTTGGTCTTAAGAGAGCAGCTGGTGCATTCTTTACCTACTTGGTCGTCAATTTTATGACTGCCATGTCCATGACATCTTTCTTCCGGTTCATCGGCGCTGCTTTCCCTACTTTTGATGCTGCCACCAAAGTCTCAGGTCTTGCAACGGTCGGCCTCTTCTCATATATGGGCTACATGATTACTAAGCCTGACATGCATCCATGGTTCGTTTGGGTCTACTGGATTGACCCTATGGCGTACGGGTTCGAATCTCTTCTTGGGAATGAGTTCCACGGGCAACAATTGGATTGTGTTGGTCCCTACCTCATTCCCAATGGTCCCGGATACACACCTGGTGAGGGTGGACAGTCATGTATTGGTGTTGGTGGAGCAGTCCCTGGAGCCACAAGCGTCACAGGTGACGAATATCTTGCATCCATGTCCTTCAGCCACAGTCACTTATGGCGCAACTTTGGCATCGTCTGCGCATGGTGGGTACTCTTTGTTGGGCTTACAATATTCTTCACTTCCAAATGGAAACTCCCAGGAGAAGGTGGCCGGAGTCTTCTCGTGCCTCGAGAACAACAGCAAAAATCGAAGCATCTGTTACAACCTAAAGATGAGGAGACACAAGCTCTTGAAAAGCCTCTGCCTGAGTCTGGGTCCGTCTCTGGAACTGACACGCCTAGTGGGAGCGTCAACAAAGACCTTATCCGCAACAAGAGCATTTTTACATGGAAAAATCTGACCTACACTGTCAAAACCCCTAGCGGTGACAGAGTTCTTCTTGATAACGTTCAAGGATATGTTGAACCTGGCATGCTTGGAGCTCTAATGGGCTCTTCAGGTGCGGGTAAGACAACTCTTCTTGATGTCTTGGCACAGCGCAAAACGGAAGGTACTATTCATGGATCTGTACTAGTCGATGGTCGCCCCATCCCCATCTCATTCCAACGCTCTGCTGGTTATGTTGAACAACTAGATGTTCATGAGTCCTTGGCAACTGTTCGAGAGGCCCTTGAATTTTCAGCCCTTTTACGCCAGTCTCGCGATATACCTGACGAGGAAAAGCTACGTTATGTGGACACAATCATCGATCTTCTTGAATTAAATGACCTTGAACATACACTCGTCGGTCGTCCTGGCGCCGGACTTTCAGTTGAACAACGCAAGCGCCTCACTATCGGTGTCGAGTTGGTAGCAAAGCCAAGCATTCTTATCTTCCTCGACGAACCTACATCGGGCCTTGATGGGCAATCTGCTTACAACACTGTTCGCTTTCTTCGAAAACTTGCAAGAGCTGGGCAAGCTGTCTTGGTCACTATTCATCAGCCCTCGGCGCAATTGTTTGCACAGTTTGACACCCTTCTATTACTTGCGAAAGGTGGTAAAACTGTCTACTTTGGTGATATCGGTGAAAACGCTAGCACGATGAAAGATTACTTCGCACGCCATGGAGAACCTTGTCCTCCAGAAGCCAATCCAGCAGAGCACATGATCGATGTTGTATCCGGGTTGGGAAATTCGGATAAAAGTCGAGATTGGAACCAAGTCTGGTTGCAATCTCCAGAACACGAGAAGCTCTCCCAGAAATTGGACACTATGGTAAGCGAGGCAGCCGTAAGGCCTGTAGAGGATAATGTTGATGGATACGAATTCGCGGCTTCCCAGTGGACACAGATTAAGCATGTGACACATCGCATGAATGTTTCACTCTTTCGAAACACTGAATATCTCAACAACAAGTTTGCTATGCATGTCAGTCTAGCCCTTCTCAACGGCTTCTCATTTTGGATGATTGGGGATCATCTTACAGATCTTCAGCGTAATCTTTTCACTGTTTTCAGCTTCATTTTTGTGGCCCCAGGTGTTATTGCCCAGCTTCAGCCTCTTTTTATCGATCGTCGCGACATTTATGAGGCACGGGAAAAGAAGAGTAAGATGTACCATTGGGCTCCCTTTGTTACCGGGCTTATTGTTTCGGAATTTCCTTACTTAATCGTCTGCGCCTTGTTGTACTATGTCTGTTGGTATTTCACAGCTGGTCTTCCATCTGGAGCAAACTCCGCTGGAAGTGTGTTCTTCGTTGTGGTAGGTCTTTTCTGGTCCAGCCTTTTTTGTCTAGACTACTGTGGACTAACATGAATTCAGATAATGTATGAACTTTTATATACTGCTATCGGACAGGCGATTGCCGCTTACGCCCCCAACGCTGTCTTTGCAACACTTGTCAACCCATTAGTCATTACAACTCTGGTTTCGTTCTGCGGTGTCATGGTACCATACAGCCAAATTGAACCTTTCTGGAAATACTGGTAAGCTTTATATTTATTTTCGCACTGAACATCTTGACTGGCGCAAAATCTAACAGCGTTCTTCTGCAGGATATACTATCTCGACCCTTACAATTATCTCATGAGTGCCCTGCTTATATTCACATCTTGGGACAAGCCTGTTCACTGCACAACCGACGAACTCGCCATCTTTGACCCGTCTCCAAATCAAACATGCGGCGAGTATCTTGATATCTATAAGCGTGGCATGGGGCCAGGAATCAATATTTTGAATCCAGAAGCCACCGCTGATTGTCGAGTTTGCCAATACACACATGGTGGAGACTATTTAAAGACCCTGAATCTCCCGGAAAAATCCTATGGATGGAGAAATGCCGGGATTGTTGTGGTGTTCGTCGTTGGCATCTATGCATTGGTATATTTCATGATGAAGCTCAGAACAAAGGCCACGAAGAAAGCCGAGTCTTGAGAAAATCGTTGAAAAGGGATAGTAGTACTATCATAGATGACCTCTCACTTTGTTTTACATGTTAGATTTCTTCACTCTTTTGCCGATGTTTCTGTTTTGTTTGACAATTACAAACAGATTTCCTCTTCTTCTCGGGATTGCTATCAATCAATCTTGTTGTATTTTAATTTATCTCCTTTATCGTTAGATGGTTCGATGGTTATTGGGTTATTCATGATATGACTGTATATGAGGGTATTAATGTAGCTAACGAGCAGCTAGCGCTTCGCAGAGCTTATCTGTAGTACTAGCTTCCTGTATTTTCAATTTCAGGAGGAATTGCAATACAAATATAGATTAAAGCATAGGGTATTATGGTGTTTGCCCAATCATTTAAGAGGTGAAATGAGGGGTCGAGCTGTAAGCTTGGGATATGATATATGAGGAAAGTTATACCAATCCATACGTGTTTCATTGAGCGAAAAGAACAATGAACAATTTCTTAGTACTTGCGCAATTTAGATTCTTTTCTTATATTTCTTTCTTCCTAGTACGTTCGTTGAGAGGCCAAAAATATTTGCATGAAATGAGGTCAAAACTGGATATAAAACTAGGTGAATAATGACGGATTAGAGTACTGCCTGCTTACAATATGGCTCTGGTGAAGATTGAGATGAATAGCACAATTTACGGAATTCACAAAATGAAGATAATAAGAATTAGTTTTGCAGGTTGTTTGATTCACACATTGCTGGTGTGACTTGCTTCCATTTGTTATCATATGAATAAATATATGTCATCTAGAAATGAACTTAAAGCTACTCAGACACAAAACTAGGTATCTATTACCTATCTCTATACTACACATCCCCATCCTTCCAACCACACCTGAGCATCCTGAGCGAATTCCCAAAACAAAAGTGAATACCCTCCAGTGAAAACCAAGCACACCAGCCTAGGTACAAACCACTTCCCAGATTATCCAATCTCTAATAATAAGTTTGATCCCTCAACCTTGGAATCTCTAGCAAACAAAACTATCTGTTTGCACCACCTCACCTTCCAAACCTCCCCTCCCCTCCCAATGCAATGACACAATCACAAACACAACCCCTCAAAATCCCACTACATAAATCCTCACTTCCCCATCGTATTAATTCCTGAGAATCTTTCTTACGTTACAACGTCTTCTCATATCCATCCCATCTCATCATTCACTAAACAATACATACAGTGATCAATTATTTCGCAGTCATGGATACTCCAAATCCTCCAAGTACACCTCAATCGCGCTCTGGTATGTAGTCCCAGAATCCTCATGTTTATCTCTATCCATAAATACTAACATACCTCATCACCACAGCCGCATACCAGCAGATCCTCAAACCCATCACACCGTCGCAAATTCCGCTCCCCTCAACCCCAATCCCAACTCCAACCCCAACCGCAACCACAACCACAACCTCAACCCCCAACCCAGCCACCAAAATTCCTCTCCCAGAAACTCCTCTCCCAGAAACAGAAACTCCCATCCTAAACACACCATCTTCCATCGCAGCGAAGATTCCTCTCCCGGAGACACCGACGCCCGCCGCAGCCGCAATTTCTGAGAGAAAGGTGGACGATGGATTTTCTGTTTCTGGTTCTCCTGAGACTAGCGAAGTTCTCGAGGCTCCCGAGGTTCCCGAGGTTCCTGGCGTTTCTGCTGCAGGTATGAAGATCTTTTCCTTTTCTTCTTTTTCATCTTCTTATGCGTAGATTCCCAACACATTATCCACTTATCTCTCAATCTCCCAACCCTAATACCCATACCATAAACCCCAACCCCAACCTCAAAACTAACCTCAAAACTAACCTCAACCCACAGTCCCCACCAATCTCACCAATCCCCCCAATCTCCCCTCCCACCTTCCCCACAACCCTCTCAGCAACCCTCTCCGCAAATCTCCAAGCTCACCCCTCAGCAAACCCCTCAGCACCCCCACCCCCGAAATCTCGCCTCTAAAACTCGCTTCTGCTTCTTTTTCTTCTTCTCATTCTCAATCTCAATCTCAACCTCAATCTCAACCTCAATCTCAATCTCAACCTCAATCTCAATCTCAATCTCAATCTCAATCTCAATCTCAATCTCAATCTCAATCTCAACCTCAACCTCAACCTCAACCTCAACCTCAACCTCAACCTCAATCTCAAACCCAGCAAAGAGACAAGTAGATAATTAGACAAGATAAGACAAGACAAGATAGCATACGATATAATGCTCTCTCTATGTATTTACACAAATATTCTCCTCTGAGCTTGAGCTTGAGCTTATGCTTATCAGGAAATCAGGAAATCAGGAAACTCAATTCAATTCAATTCAATTAGATATGGGAGTTGTGATAACAAGGAAAAAGGAATCAAATCAAATCATCAATTAGTTAGCTAGCTGGCTAGTTAGCAGACAGACAGGCAAATAGGCAGACAGACAGAATAATATTACCATCTCTCCCTCTCCCTCTCCCTCTCCCTCTCCCTTCTAAACTCTTCACATATAATCCATTATCCATCTATCTAGTATCCATCTATGCAAGCCCGAAAAGAACTCCCTCTTTTCAAAACCCCCGAAAAGAAACCCCCCGAAGAGAAAATCCCCGAAGAGAAAATCCCCCAACAATCCCCTCAAGAGAAATCGAATCGAATCGAATCGAATCATTCATCTCTTAATCCATCTCTCCATCTCTCCATTTCTTTATTTTTTTATTTCTTTATCTCTCCATCTCTCCATCTCTCCATCTTTCTATCTCTTCATCTCTCTATCTCTCTATCTCTTTATTTCTTTATCTCTCCATCTCTCCATCTCTCCATCTCTCCATCTCTCCATCTCTCCATCTCTCCATCTCTCCATCTCTCCATCTCTCCATCTCTCCATCTCTCCATCTCTCCATCTCTCCACCCATCACACAACTACCCATCACACAACTACCCATCACACAACTACCCATCTACCTACCCACCCACCCATCGACCCATCTACCCATCTACCCATCACCCACCTACCCATCTACCTACCCATCTACCCATCACCCACCTACCCACCAACTCACCACAAGCCCAAAATTATAAACACATTAAACAAATCAAATGAGCAACAACAATTAGATACCTAGATAACTCCCAATCAACTCCCAACCAACTCCCAACCAACTCCCAACCAACTCAAAGTGACCGAGCAAAAAGAAAGGAGAGAAGAGGAGAGTGGATTTTATCTCCGTGCTTTACACCTCCTCCTATGTTCAACGAGTACAGAATAGAATGGATGATTATTTTATACGGTACAGATCAAATCAAATCAAATCACATCACATCAAATCACATCACATCACAAGACAAAAATAATGACAATCTGGAGTTGTGAAATCATCAATTCTCTCCATCACCATCACCATCACCATCACTCTCACCCACCCTCAAAATTAATCTCCCCTCCCCTCCCCTTCCTTTCTCCAAAAAATATACAAACATCTCTTCACTCCCTTCCCCAATCACTTCATCCCCATTCATAAATCCCACCTGCAAACAATACAATGCAATGCATAAATACACATGACGAGCAGATATCCCTCCAAGATGCCATCCAATCCAATTCCTCATTATGAAACGCCCAAAACCATTTATGCATGCATGCTGATATCACCCTCCCATAATCATCTCCATCGCAACAAAAAGTAAGTCAAATCCCAAGTCTACGCCTGCCCATCCCTTCGTTAACATCCCAACCAATCCATCCCATGCCATTTTAATTCATCATTCCTTATCGTGACAGACATTGATCTAATAAAAAAAAGAAAATGAAACCATAAAATAATGAGAAAAGCTCTTAATCCCATCCCAATACAAGAAAACTCCAAAAGGTATATGCCACATTCCATGTTTTTGTCTCTTCTCGATTTTCGTATCTCGCTCCAAAGTTGTATAAAAATATTGTTCAAGAATTGAAAGTTGTCAAGGTGAAGTCCTTTCAGCTGCATCATTTTGTGTCGAATAAAAAGAAGGCATCGTTGGTACCGGTGGTATCTCATCATTAAGTCTTTTGGTCGACGAAATATTCAATACGCGATACAACAAACTCTTTCTCTTTCCATCAGCGCGTTTGTAAGAAAGTTGTTGAACTCCAGAACATTCGGTACGAGGACCCATGGTTCTACCACCACTTGGAAGACGTCTCATGGCAGCTCCAAGCTCACTTCGATGATCCCATGTCGGGGAACCTTCGCTACTCTTACGTTTAAGTTCTTCTTCCCAACCATATATATCGGTACTGGTACTGCTTGCACAAGAATTGGTGCTGACAGTCGAACACGAATAGATACTGCTAGCAGAAGAACACGCAACGCTTGCATCGGCTAATAGTAACTCGTCTGGAGACCGATCGTCCATGATAGTACTAGTTGACGAAGTAGTCGTTGCTAGGCTTGTCCTCGATGAGTGAGCTTCCGAGTGTGCTGAAATCCAAGTACCATTATCTCCCTCGAAATCAAAGTCCGCATGAACTTCGGTATCGGTAGTTGTCGTTTCTGAAGACTTTCTGGGTTCCTCTCGTTCAATCACCTTTGCTGGAATATAGAACGGCGAGCCTGCAACTTGCATCATCTTCGCTTTGGCCATCTCCTTCTCATTTATTGCTGACCCCAGTTTTGCGGCCACGTCATCCTCTCCAATACCTCTACTCATACTCCTCCCCTCTTCAATGTTTGCCCAAGTCTGGGACCTAGAAAACCCAAATGAAAAATCCTTCTCCTTGCCAACATGCATTGATGCTAGGTTTGCAACGAGCGAAGGCCGACGTCCGGAAACATCAACTGGTGAACCAGGATGCGCGACCATAAGTGGTGATGCTCCTTGAGTTGATTTCAGTGTTGTGTCAACGCGAGGCTGCGATGCCTGCTTTGTCAAGGTGGAGTTATTCGTGGGATTTTCGATTGGTCGATTCATCGAGCAAGGAATATTAGAAAAAGCATCAGAAAGTGGTGACGCGACCTGTTCCCGTCATGGTTGACTACCATTTTGATCATCACTCACGCTGTGGCGTCGCGAACTACTTGTCGATCCATGAGCAGATCGACTCTTCTTGAAACCGAGTTTCGCACCCATTTTCTTCCAGCTAACACTTCCTTCACGAGAATGACGTGGGCTAGTTCCAGGCGAATCACTTACGAAACCAGTATCTGAAGTTGGTGGGGTGGTTGGAGGAGTGATGGGTTCCATTGGAGATGGCGAATCAGTGTCGTCTGTGAGACTTTCGGATTCGATTGAGGAGGTTCCTGAGGATCCAGACATGAATGTTGATAAGCGAGCAGAAGTTACGCGACCTAATGCAGCAGTAAGATGTGGATGTTGAGGTGGTCTTTGCGATGGAAGGCTGTGAGAATGAGACATCTTATCTCCACTGAGAGGTGGACTTCCCTTCCTCGTGCGTAGTCGAGAATGAGACATAGATCGCTCATCCAAAGATTCGGCCATGGCAGCAGCGTCAACAAATGACTCATTCGAGGCCCACGGGCTGTGATCGGAGGCACGTGATGGAGGAGCAATTGAATTCAAGAATGGAACCAACACAGATTCATCCATCAACTCATATATGATCTTGACGGCTTGATCCAATTCTCTTGGGTCTGGCGCCTCGTATATGTTCGGTAAATGAATCAATCGATCTCTAACATCAGAAGGTAGATTTACTTCTCGTGGCCCATTTGGCGCAATGTATGCATCCAACAACTTTCGCCATAACATTCGTACATATTCGGAATCTTGATCGGTTGGGGATAGTGGTGAGTATGGATCCCGGCCGTATGTCGCCTGATAATGTTTCTTGTATCTGGTTGCATCCATGGTAAACTCCAAGGTTTCCAAACAATGGTTCTGTGACAGGTATGCCATGAAGGCGCTCAACGTCCATGGTGGTGGTGCAGCATCCGACAAGACCTCTTGTAACGTTGGTCGCCTGGGACAATAAGGGCCAGGTGGGATCGAAAGATTGAGAGATTTCGAACTCGACGGTAAATATTCTCCTGACGACATGAAGCCCTCGTCGTCCGCGTCGCAGTCCGAAATGACGGATGAACAACGCGGTGATGATTCTCTCGAGTACGTTTGAACGTATAGTGGGGGAGGTTTCCTTGTTTTCGATTTTCGCATCGCGCTTCGAAGGTATCTCATGGATACTATTTGTAATGTGTGTACACTTTATTGCTTTCTCCTATATGATTTAATTTTCCCACTTATTCTATCTCGTAGAATGTATCGGGTGTGAAGAGAAAAGCAAGTGCTATTGTGTGCCGCTCATTTGTCAGAAACAAATTAGTCCAAAGCAGGTCGTCAAAATAGGTGTTTGCTGCAAGGTACAGTAACTCGATTCGATGAAGCCTGCGTGGAAGGCAAGCCAGTCCGTAATCTCGTGGGATGCAGGCTACCGCAGAGTACCGAATTTTGACAGGGGACCTTTTCCAATGATTGAACCACTCCCAGAGGTGTTGAATCACGAAACCGGATAAGCACAGAAGGTCGTGGCGGTTGATATTCTTCTGGAAACGAGTCTCTGAAGTTCGGAAACGTTGTGTATCGAAGTGAGAAACAAGGTCGCAATGGTGAGAGGCTGAATAAAAACTAAGCCTTCTTTTTCCAAGTTCTTCGTAATGCGACGTTTGTCAAGTAATACAAATGTAACCTTCTATAATCGAACCAGGCTGAGATGTGAATCCTTAGCAATAAGTTTATTTTCGTCGTTTGGTGAGTAGAGAATGGATGAAGTCTCAGCAAAGTAAGAACGTCAAAGATTAAAATGAAGTATTAGACCGGATAGAAGAACAGTAAAATGGAAGGATTGAAGGAGTGATTCGATTTTTCGAAACGACGTAGTAAATCTAGATTTTCAGAGTAATCTCCTCGGTGAAGTTGGGACCAGAATGGGTGGGTTTCGAATCAGATAGTAGCTTAAATGAGGGCTTTGACAAGATGTCAAGTTTGAGAATGCGCCAGACGATAGATATAGAACGGAGAAGCTCCTTGTGTTTGAGAAATCGAGATTGAGGGATATAAGATCCGATGGGCAAGATATTATTGGCGGGTGGAAAAAAGAGAGACTCTAGGTGTAAGAGATTGTAATTGGAATTTGTGATTGTGATTTGTTGCAGTGCAGTCAGTGTAGTGTAGTGTAGTGAGGTGTTGTGTTGTGTTTTGACGTGTGGTGTATATTGAAAGTCTGATGACGACGATGAATTGGTAACGATGATGATGATGATGATGAAGATGATGATTCTCGTGTGTATGTAAAGGGTGTGTGTGTATATGTGGTGTATGGTGTCTGTCTGTCTGTCTGTCTGTCTGTACCGGTATGTGGTATGTGGTATGTGGTATGTATGGTAATAATGTCTGTGGTGGATGTTGGTGTACCTATCTATGAAAATGATTGAATAATCGAATGGACGCTACGACGGAGTATGGCTCAGGTAATATCTCCGACCCTTTTTATTATTAATTGGGTGAATCGATCTAACAATTGAACCAATTCCCTTAATAATGATAATTATAATAAAAACAAGTAAGAGCAACGGTAAAAACAATAAAGATTTAGAAGGGATGGGTGTGAATATGAACGATTTCTACGGTTCCCAAGAGGAAAAAAGTAAAAATGGCGGCGGTCGAAGAGTCGTCAAAGGTAAAAGTGCAAAGTGAGAATTATGGATCTTTTCCACGAAAGAATTAGCATCATCAGAAGAAGAGTTTCCCTTCTCTTCCCTGCCTGCTTCTCTTCTCTTTCCTTCCCTTTCTCTTTCCTTTCCCTTCACAGATTCAAACCACAATCACAACCATGATCCTGGCTGGTTCCAGAAAAGGATAGAGATAGCGTGGATGGTGGAGCAAAAGAGGAGTAAAGTGAGATGAGTGGAGCAGGTGAAGATGGCGCGGATGGATGATTCTGGGTGGATATGTATGAGATAGGGATCGGGATTCGGTAGACCAAAGTGATGCTAGTTGGGAAGTTGGACCAATTTGTGGGAGAGAAATTCAGAGAATCTCCTCTTGAATACGAGGTTGGGTCTGGCCAAGAAGAATGAATATATATGCTAGGGATATATGTGTATAGGTATGTATGGATTATGAAAAGACATAGATCTTTTATGTCAAGGGATATGGTGATGGGCGAGGGAGTTGATGGAGGGTGGATGGAGGGTGGATGGATGATTGATTGAATTTCTGTATAAGCTGTGTGACATGAATATTAACAGTAGGTGACTTGTAACTCTCTCAATTTCCAAATAAAAGAAGTTAGAAAAGGGTAGAGAGGCAAAGGCGTCGTCTGGTTTGTATGGTCTGGTATGTATGTCTGGTTTGCTGTGTGGCCTTGTCTTGCTTGCACTGCACTGAAAAGAGAAGAGGAGAGAAGAGTGACTTTTCTAAAAGTGGCCAGTGATGGTGGGTCTGTGGATGGGTGAGTGGATCCAAGGCTGATTCGAATGAGACCTCTTACTCGTTGGCTGGTTTCAAAAAGTGGATCAAGAGTGACGGAAGTGGTGATACAAAGATTGGGAGTGTCTGTGACTGTGACTGTGACTGTGACGGTAACTGTGAGTCTGTGACGGTTGGTTGATAATCATTTATTACCTAGTTAATCATTGCTTGCTGGCGACCAGTGGCTGGGTGGGCGGTGGGTGGCTTTGCACCGCCGTTCGTGTGTTTTCAGTACTTTGTAATGTCGTGAAAGAGAGACAGCGTGAGTGTTGATTGATACTGAATATCTATCGGATACCGTGATGATGTGAAATGTTCAGTGTTAAATGTCTTCATTAAATGTCTTCATTAAATGTCTTCATTAAATGTCTTCATTAAATGTCTTCATTAAATGTCTTCAGAGGTGAACATTGTCTTTGCTTCTTTTTCCTCGATTGGGGGATGTGCACGCGACGGTTGATGTTCTCTTGCGATGATCTTGAAACTATCGCCAGATATAACGACCTGACCTTGTATAACGACCGGGTATGATGTTCATATATGATGTGCATGTATAATACTCGAATGCCGTCGATATGCAATTTATTCAATATTTATCCCAGGAGCAAAAAGAACATCAAGAAAAGAACTTCTGGAACTTTTCCCCTACGGTCGATGGTGGGAGTTTATTATCCCCGTCACCTTACGAATCTGAGACGGAATTGAATCCACTAAGAAATACGCGTGGTCCTGGGTGGTCCTGGGTGGTCCTAGGAAGTCCTGGGTAAATCTTAAAAGAGCGAGGGAGAGAGATCACGCTAAGGGAAATAAAATAAACTCAAAAAGGATAAGCAGAATCCACCCACGCTAGAAAAGCGCTAGAAGATTGGCTAGCCACGCTCCATGCCATCGAATCAAATCATCTTATTCTTTGCTCATCCATGGAATCCATTGAGCGTACCACCCATCATCCAATCATCATCTCGTCACACTTTCATCATGCGCTCAGATCCGAGTTGGGATTAGTGTCGAACTCCACAGATGCTTCTTCGAGCAAGGATATAGATTGTGGTTCTGCATCCCTCGTTAAAGCAGCATGAAGAGCCCTCACGGAAAACTGTATCCTTCGAAGTTCGTACGTTTCCCCTTCCGACATGGATATAGCCAGGTTTATCAGCAGCAATCAACAATCCAACGGAGTTTATGAGATTCTTGGCCGAGCTCTCGATTCTGGCTTTTCTCTTGGCACGCATGGATTCTTCCAACACTAATCGATAAATCGTTCCATCATTCGAATGATTTGATGCTGACGGCGTTGCGCGATGCCTTTCGGAGGAAAGATAAGTGGTTCTGGATTATTAATAAGCATGAGGAGGACAACTGGGCTGGGGATCTCTTCGCATGGGGCCAGCAAGCACAATCTGTGACATGATGTAAAGTCCTCCCTAGGGTATCCCTTATGGAACTGTGAAGCGTGGAAAATGATCTGTCCCAAATATCCCGAGAACTTGAAAGGATGATTCTTGATGAAGGTGTGTGCCGCGTTTGAGGACTGGGAAGGCGATGCAATGCTTGAAATCTTCCCAAGACCGTTGGTGCTACACAAATTACACTCCGATGGCAAATCGTGGCGTTCTCTCCAAACTTCTATCCCTTCCATCCATTCCAGAGAACTCTCTGTTGGAAACACGCAAGTCATCGTATCACCAACCACACAACATTGTCACTCCATCCCAAACCCCTTCTGCTCCCTCCGACATATCACACAAGGCAAGTTCCGTGAGATCCCTTCCAGAAGTCACCAACCACAGCAAACCTCCATACCCACTCGATCCCCAATTCTCCTCTCCCAATGACACAACATCAAACACCTTCACCTTCACCTTCACCTCATCTTCAATCCACCGATAAAGTCTCACGCTACCGATAAGAAGCCGTCCCAAACGGTAATTATCCTACGTCCAGACTGCGGACACTGACGTTGCCCGTCCATCATGTCCCCAATCGAGCTACCTTCCTTTCCCCATCCTGAAAACCAGTTCATAGTCCACCCACCACATCCGATAGTCGTGAAGATCATCACATCATCTCGATACCGTATCTAATCACCGTCTTCTGATCACCCTGAGCCACACACCCTCAAGGTCCAACCCCTCAATTGAATTTAATTAACTTTTCCCACGGCCTCCCGTTCGGGCTTCTTCATTCTTCATCTACCGGAGGCGTGGGACTGGCACAGAGGAACTGCCGATGTTGGGTGTGCTATCGACGATTCCCATCGCCTTGTTCGTGTGGAGTCTGCGTTGTTTGCTTAGTCTCTTTTCTCATTCATTCATGCCTTTAATTCGCTTTCTCTAGTCCATTCGCACGTTTACACTACAGTAGGTAGCTCCTCTCCTCACCTCCTTCGTACCCTCACCATAACTCATCTACCGATACCTACATCTACACATCTGCTCACCACGTGAAGTATGCACAACATCCTCCATCCTCCAATAAATCATTGATCCATCCATCCATCCAATCCAATGCATCCATCCCCATCCCCATCTCAAATATCATATCACGTCAAAGAAACATCACTCCCTCCCTCATCTCGCATCAGACCAATCCCCCCCCCTCACCCTAAGTTGTACCACCGTCCATCCATCCACCCCTCGCACCCATCTTCCATTCACAAGCCTCCATTCCAATTTCCAAACAAGCATACGGACGGAGTAGAAAGCTAGACCACACCACCTCCTCACCCGTCGTCACGTAACACACAATACAAGCCCTTACTATCTCGAGAAGGTAGATAGATAGGTGGGTGGGTAGGTCATCACGGATTGATATATCCTCCTGAGTTTATGATACCTACATACCGAGTCCCTAGTCCTGAGTCCTGAGTCTAGACTCTCTTTTTGATGGAGATGAATATTCATCGAATATCTATCTCCCATCCGGCTCTTCCATAACTATAAAAAAGCGAGAGGAAAGCGAGAGAAAAGGAAAGAAAGAAGAAAGAAAGAAGAACCCCTTCACATAATATGTAATGTACATATCCCAACCAAGCCGTCTCCGAAACTCTCAAGGTATTATTGATATCCTATCCCATCGCCATCCCCTGCCTACTCATCCCATCCCCCATCTCATAAAGTTATAAAGTTACAACTTACGAGCTTGCGAACTTGTGAGGTAAGATGGAGTAAGTATTATATTATATATTATATATTATCTATTCTACTATCTATTATCTATTATATATTTTATGTTTTTTATATTTTTTATATTTTTTATATTTTTTATATTTTTTATATTTTTTATATTTTTTATATTTTTTATATTTTTTATATTTTTTATATAATATATATAATATTATTTTTAGCTACGAAGGGCCGAGAAAAAGCTCGTATAATATAATATAATATTTAATATTTACTTTTGAATTTCAAAAAGATTCCTTTTCGAATTTTTTATTTATTTTTTATACATTTGATTTTTATAGATTTGATTCGATTTGATGGGTTTAGATTTGATTTTGATTTTGATTTTGATTTTGATTTTGATTTTGATTTTGATTTTGATTTTGATTTTGATTTTGATTTTGATTTTGATTTTGATTTTGATTTTGATTTTGATTTTGATTTTGATTTTGATTTTGATTTTGATTTTGATTTTGATTTTGATTTTGATTTTGATTTTGATTTTCAAGTATAAGTTTAAGGAGTTTATTAGTATATAGATAGGTGTATATTTTAGTATTTTAGTATTCTAGTATTCCTAGATAAGATTATAGAAAAACTCATAGAAAAAAGCCATAGAAAAAACCTGTAGAAAAAAGCCGCAGAAAAAGAAAAAAAAAGCAATCCAATTCTCCCTCCCATCGCATTCCACAATTCCCATATCCCCCCTCCCCGGGAATCTGAAAAAAAGATGCGGATTTTTCTGGATTTCTGAGTTTTCCGTGTGATATATTAGATACGATGTACTAGGTTGGCTCGGGGTTGGCTCGAGGTTGGCTCGAGGTTGGTTTCTATTTACAACCTGGTACCTGGTATTTGGTATTTGATATATACGGATGGAGTATGGATAGCCAGGGATGGTGAATATGATATGGTGTATAGAGTAGTGGTGGTGTGAATGGGATGGGTGTGATGATATGATATGGATGATATGGATGATTGATTGATTGATTGATTGATTGATTGATTGATTGATTGATTGATTGATTGATTGATTGATTGATTGATTGATTGATTGATTGATACTTATTATGGAGTATACCTAGGATCTCCCATGGGAAAATTGAGATTTTTATGTAGAGTCTAGAGTCTAGAGTCTATCAGGTAAAGGACTTTAGGTAGGTATTCATGCGAAAATATGAAGTAGGCATAATATGAGTATCGATATCTAGAGAGTACGATGTAAGTAGATAAGAGCATAGCATCGGTAGAGAATAATAATTTCTCGGCTTTGTAGGTTGCTAGTCTGTAGGTTGTTTGTTATAGTAGTAAGTAGTAAGTAATAAGTAGTAAGTAATAAGTAAGTCGGTTACCCTACTTTCGGGCCACCCCTGTTTTGGGCCACCCTTTCACACCAAAAATCACTTTTTAGGCCTATTAATATCTCTATCAATATTCAATATAATTCGATGAAAATTTGTATATCTATAATTTAGATTGATTTAAGCTTATTCTGAAATTTTTAGATTTTTAGGATTTTTTTGTATTGAGAACTAGAGCTTCAAAATATCGATTTTTAAATTTATATGAGAATTACATATAAATTGAAATTTTTTATAAAATCTTTAATAACTTTCTAACAAAAAGTGTTAAAAATAAACTTTAAAATTTTACTATAAATTTATAATATGTTTAATATAAGAAATTCGGAAAAAACAGAAAATTCCTTATAAATAAATATTTATAGGAGTACCTTCAAAATGACAGGGATTATTTATACTACTCTAAACCCACCGTATACTATATATTTATATCTGTTAATTTTTTCGAATTTTTTTTTCAATTTCTATATAGATTCAAGCTTAAATATCTCAAAAATATATATAGTTTTTTTTAATTAATATTATTAAAAAGTTATTAAAGATTTAATAAAAAACTTAAATTTATATATAATTCATATACAAATTTAAAAATCGATATTTTGAAGCTCTAACTTTCAATACAGAAAAATCCTAAAAATCTAAAAATTTCAGAATAAGCTTAAATCGATTTAAATTATATAAATATAAATTTTCGTTAAATTATATTGAATATTGATAGAGATATTAATAGGTCTAAAAAGTGATTTTTGGTATAAAAGGGTGGCCCAAAAGGGGAATGGCTCGAAAGTAGGGTACCCGACTTATTTAGAGAGTACAATGTAAGTAGATAATAGTATAACATCGGCAGAGAATAATAATTTCTCGGCTTTATAGCTTACTAGTTTGTAGGTTGTAGGTTGTAGTAAGTAATAAGTAGAAGTAAACATCTAAATAGTTTATAGTTTATAATAAGTATTTTATAATGAGTTTTATAATAAGTAAATTAGAGTTTATTATATATAGTAAAACATCTCTATAAGAATATCGGTTTTTATAGTATTCTTTCTTATATAAAGAATATAAAGAATATACGAATCTTTTTTATAATATTGAATTTTTATTATTTCGTTATAATAATTAGTTCTTTTAATATTATAATAATATTAAATGATTTGATTAATATTTATTCAATATAACGTTTTAATCTTTATATTTGAATTAATATTATATAAACAAGGGAATTTACTTCAAGGAAATAACTTCAATATAATAGTAACTGTATCAAAAGTATTTAGGCGAATGCGAAGGAGACTAGCTCTTTCAGTAGTACCTATATAAGGCCTACTATTTCCCTTATTAGCTAGCTCCTTAGATTGAATATAAATAGACGTTTAGGGGCCTACTTATAGTAGGAACCACGTCTTTCATATCTCTCTCAAACTAATAAATACAGAATTTTAAAATAAATGACTTTTAATAGTTTTTAGTATAATATGAATTAGTTAAATTGAGATCGATATTTATTCAAAAAGATATTAAGTAGATAAAAAAGAGATAGGATTCTAGAATGTTTTCGGCCTGTTATATAGTATATATATAGTATATATTAACTATTATCCTTCTTTCTTTCTTTCTTTCTTTCTTTCTTTCTTTTCTTTTTATTCTCCTGGGATATAGATTATTATAATTAATATAGTTCATACAGACTATACGCTATGAGAGTTTGAG